CCAAAAGTTTTGCGACAGTTTAGGGATTATACGGCCCCAAAAGTAGTCAAAAAAGAAATAACCTTCCAGTCATGTCCAAATTTAAGTGTTGGAAAATGTTGTGGATTAGATTATGTGGAAGTTAATTAATTTCTTAAGCGAGGGAGTTGTATGTTATTTTTGTTCTAAAATGCAAAACTAAATTTCTTACCCTTTTCATTAACGGTGCACTCAAACGCGTCTGAGCCATCCACTAAGCTTTTTCAAACTATTATTACGGTTTTTTTGAATATCAAAGTTATCCTAATCGTATAAATAGTTTAAACTGCATTTATTTTAATCTTGAGACCAACGTAAAGGAATGCCTGAAACACAAGTTTTATGTTTCAAGATTTGTTAACCTTAAATTCCTTCTAATTTAATTACATTTTCTGGCCTTTTTAGGAAAACCTTCATATTTGTGTTACTTTTTCTGAAAATAATAAAGTTCAATAACAAATACCATAGCAATGAAAATGTATTTTCATTTTTATTTTCAGTTTTCAATATTATTATAGTTTATCATAATTGTCATTGCGGTTCGGCCTTTTCAGATATGTTTACTTCCCCAAGCACCTCTTAATTTCCGACTATAAAGAAAAAAATAAGCCAGAAACTTTAATGAAACAAAAATCACATTTTCTGAAGGCTTTAATTCATCGAAAGCGCAAAATATTGAACAAGGAAAGAATGCCCTCTGACCAGTAGTAGGTTTAGGTGGCGTCTATGGGCAACAACTTAGATTGCAGGATGCGAGCCTCATAGGCTACTGGCTTACTTGGTACTTACAAATTACTTTTAACCAGGAATCATAAAGACACTTTTTGTGTTCGCTTCGTGGAGTTTGCAAACATGGCATTCGATATAATAATGCCGGTGTTATTTTTACAAAAAATAAATTCATAGAACGGCAAAGTAAAAGCTATGTAAATGGCAGTTGGTCAATGTAGCATTCTTATTAAAATTTTGACATCCTAAGAAATCAAAAAAACCAATACGAAGCGCAGAGAGAGCGGATGATTGGATTTGTATAAGTCGTCGTCGTCAACAAACCAACAAATAACCAGCAATAAAACGACCGAAGTTTAAGTGGAGGGTAAACTTTTCACTACGATTTGCATTTGCAAAATCATTAGTCCACGTAAAAAACAAGAAAGGTAATTTTATATAAATTTATAAGTAGTCAAATTTTTGCTGGGGGAATTCATTTATCTGACCTACCGACTAATCTATTGGGTCTTATTATATTCGCCAAGCGTAGGATAAAATGGTATACTATATCCCTTGGCAATTACAAATTGGTAGAAGGAAGCTTTCCCCGACCCTGTTGAATGTATATAATCTTGATCACGATCACCTGCCGACCATTTTTAAAATTGTTAATTTTCCAATCGCAAAATATTTTAAGCAAACAAGTGTGGCGGAGGAATCATTAGAATGTTCACACATTCGGTGACCTCAAACCATTTTTAATCTTCGTTTTACTTGCATAAACATACAAAGTATTATATTTGGGTATTCCGGGTCGTGAAAGATTTTCTTGTACAACATAAATTGGGAGTTGTATTAACTAAAGGTGGACCAAACGACCTAAGATTTATATTTTCTATTGGCAAGCTTGGAATAATGAGTTCAAAAAGTTTTAAAAAGTTTTAAGCATTGTTTGATTTACGAGAGCCTCTGTGTGTAGGCTTACCAACATATTCAGGATTGAAGCCCCACCAAATGTTAAAATGAAAATCGGAATGGGCGGGGATATGTCAACGTGCATTGTGAAGTCGCTGCGGCATTCAGCTGGATGGGATGCTGATGTGGGTCTGATGGGCTTTCCTGTATAATGTGAAATTTCCTGTCAAGCTAATTTCCTTTGGGTGCTGGTTCTTGGTTGTGATCGTGTAGCATTGCCCCGAGTTGGCAGCCCATTGAATTAATTCGCCCGTATGCACAAAATACTTCTCTGCAAAAGAATTGCACACACACAAATATATATATATATATGATTGCAGCGCTGCAGAGTGCCATCTCGCTTAAGCATCATAGATTTTAAATTAGTTTAGTCTAAGCTGACCTCGCATGTTCGCTATTTTTATACCCGATACTCGAAGAGTAAAAGGGTATATTAGATTCGTTGAAAAGTATGTAACAGGTAGAAGGAAGCGTTTATATGTATTATATATTCTTGATCAGGATGAATAGTATCGTCTGTCCGTCTGTCCGTATGAACGCTGAGATCTCAGGAAGTATAAGAGATACAAAGCATGCAGATTCTTGAGGTCTCTACGCAGCGCAAGTTTATTACAGCATCCTGCCTCTAACGCCCACAAATCGCAAAAAACTAAAATCGCTGAAATCTCAGGAACTATTAGAGCTAGAAAGTTGAAATTCAGTATGTAAAATCTTTAGATGCCAGCGCTTCGTATAGTGGCCTATCTATTTATCTATCCGGCCACACCCACCACCCACGCCTACAAGGCTGAAAAGACGGTTTTCGCATTTTCTAGAAAAGCTGATATCTCGGTAATTAAGCATGTAGGTTTTTATGATACTCCCTCAAGAATCTTCATGGTTAATCTCAATTTTGTATCTCTTATAGTTCCTGAGATCTCAGGATTCATACGAACAGACGGACGGACAGACGGACATGGCTCATTCGTCTTCGCTGTTCATCCTGATCAAGAATATATATACAAGAATATATGTTACATACTTTTCAACGAATCTAGTATACCCTTTTACTCTACGAGTAACGGGTATAAAAATATCCCTTTAGAGCCGTACGGTAGTTAACGTTTTCCCAACTTTACCTTCCCTCCTATTTCATTTGCTATTTTCACCCTTGACTTGTTTTGCAATTGCAGAAAAAGCTCTTGGATTAACAATCCGCTTCATTTGGGAATTGTTTTGCACAGCATACATATCTAACATATACATATGTGTTAAGAAATTTAGGTAGTGCGATGCATGTACATGCTAAACATGTTGGGTTCCTGGCAGGTGTTATGAAAATTTATGGGCGTGCCAATGGGAAATGAAATAAAATGTACTGTGACGGCAGTCATAAAAGCAGTTTTGTCTTTAAGCATTTTCAAATTTTTCCACAATGGTTATTTTTGCTAAAATAAAAACCAACTTTTTCAGGATGGCGCCATTTTTATAAAGTAAAAGGTATAATGGGTTCATTGAAACGTGTGTACTAGGTGGAAGAAATCGTTATTTAGTAATGCGTATAAAACAGTCGTGTCCTACATAGTTTCTTATTGTTTTTAAATATCTAATTTAAGCTCGGTATGTTAATTGGTATTGATAAATAAAATAAATTGCAAATTAAATACATAAGGACCATATCATAAATAGCTAAATAATGTTCCGATTTGAAAAATCTTTGGTAAGTCGATAGATATTGCCAAAAAATGTTATAAAAGGTCAAACAAAGACATACACTATATATACACTATATATGGCAATATACTGAAATAAACTTGCGCTGCCTATGGACCTGAAAAATCTGCCTGCTCAATCTGAACGCTGTATCTCTTATAGATCGTGGGATCTCAAGACCTCACAAGGGCGGTGACGTCACTATCAGTTACTCAACATGTTTTCTATGACAATAGGTGGCGCTATGTGGATTTCCACTATGAATATTTTAAAACTGTGTAAAACAGTAACGGGTATCGTATAGTCGCGGCACTCGACAATAGCGTTTCCTCTTCCTCATTTAAATGGCGCAATTTATTGCCAGAACTCTTAAAGCTTCCGATATTTCTTGGTTTTTACTTTTCGTGCTCTGAGGGCATTAGAGTGGGTGTGGCAGGCTGCTGAAAAAACTTTCTCAATTCATCTCTATAATCTACAAGCTTAGTCCCTTAAATTAAACCAATCGAGCTTTAATTTGAAAAATTTTTAAGCGATGACAGTTAATTTTTTGGAATGTTCTATGAGTGTTTTATTTTTTTTTGCTAAATAAAAAATACTACTTGAACCGCTTATTGGCCACGTTGGTGGCTTTATTGGCTATTTCTGCCTAATGTCATATTGTTATACTTAGCCTTTATATAATATTTTATTGGCAGGCAATCCATTAGGTGGGCTTAAGAAGAAAAATTGTATTAAGTGGACAGAGATGGGATGAGCTATATATGCCTGTATATTGATTTGTAATGACAAAAAAGGAACCGAAGGTCGAGCTGCATACGATATGGGATTTTCATTGGTCGGCTGCTATAACAACAATAAACGACAAACATTTCAAATTCGCCATTAAGTGTCCAGAATTAATTAATTAATTGATTGAATTCTATGCGAGAAGATACTGACAATGTTTGCGAGTAGATAAGATAAATTCCTTAAGAAAAGCTTATTTATACCCGTTACTCGTAGAGTAAAAGGGTATATTAGATTCGTTGAAAAGCATGTAACAGGTAGTACCTTCCCTATTTCCTACCCTATAAAGTGTATATGTTCTTGATCCGTCCGTCTGTCCGTATGAACGCTGAGATCTCAGGAACTATAAAAGATACGAAGTTGAGAGCATGATGATTCTTGAGGTCCCATTCTAACGTCTATAATATTATTACGAATGCCTTCGTATGAACTTTTATAACATTTTTTTTCAGTACCTATCGATTTACCAAATTAATTTTTTAAATTGGGAATTTTATTTCACTATTTATAAAGAAATAAATCAAATTTCCACTAGCAAAGTGAATATCTAAAAATTGTGTAAAACAGTATCATATAGTCGCGGCACTCGACTATAGCGTTTTTTCTGGTTAAAATTTATATAAGAGGCTTATGAAATATATTTTTAAAATGTAATTAGAAAAAAATAAAAATAAAAAAGGTAATAAGTCTACTAGAGACGGGCATCCTCTTAAGACATTTGGTTAAAGTAGCCAAAAGTTTAAGTCAGCAAGGAGTGCGAAAAACTGTGAATTCACATGTACTTTTTCGACGTAAAAGTTCGCATTATACTCACTTACCTTGTTGCCAGATCCCGATGAACGAAATTCATTTGCTCCAAATGCCTCATGCCCGATGCAATTTGGGTGGCAATGTAGACTAAGCATCCGAAGCTGTGGCACAGACGGGTAAGATTTCCGAATATCATGGTGGGGGAAGCGGATACGGAAGATGCCAGCATGAAATAAGGAATTTTAAAAGTTTTCAAATGCGACAACGTCGCCGAATTTGGAAAGGTGAGGGCGCCAAGTAACGAAGTTTTGACATCCGTTTTCGCATTTGGTTGGTTGGTTGCCGGATCGGTGTTATCATTGAACACGAGGCCGGAAGTGTTGCGTTGGCAAGAGGGGTCGGTACAGGAAGCACGATAAAAACGTACACAGGAAAAGGGAGGGAAAAGCATTCGTTTTAGAGCACTGTGGAGGGTATTGCTGGGTAACCTTACCTAAGACTCTTCTTGGCCACCAGGCCGCTGGTCTCTGCAACGTGCTCCTGCAGGAACTGGTTCAAGTCGCCGAGACAATTTGAGTAGTCCTGCACAATACATACGGGCTCGTCCAAAAGGCAGGCCCCCACCAAACGAGCCACGTTTGGGTCGCTTAGCTGCGCTAGGTGTTTAGCTTTGCGACAAAACTCACTTCGCAGGTCATCATTAGCCCCTGGGCGCAATGTAGCCACAGCCACAAGGGTAGCGCTGCGAATTAGATCAAAATAGTGTTGCGTAACATTTTTTCACTGTTATTTATCAATCTAAAAAGTTCAAAATATATCGTTGTAAATGGTCGCCCAAGCATCAACGGAAAAGTGTAGATCCTTAATTGACTAAATAAACAACTCGTCACAAGGTATATGTTAACTTTACTATGTAAACTATTCGCCGGATTAATGCCACAACTGTCCTAGTATTTAGGTGGGCTACAAGGAGACTTAGAGGATTTGTAGACACAGCGAAAGTAATAAGTAACAAATTGATTGTTCTGATATTGATACAGATATCATTTCAAAGAGAAATTCCAAATGTAGTTGATAAGCGGTGTGTCAGTGTGCGGAGTGGAACGCTGACTTCCATCTTATGGATGGCTGCCTTTCGAATTTGGAATGTCATTTCTGCGCTGTAAGTGCAATTATGAGCAGTATTTAAACTCTTAAGATAACAATTTGATAACGCCTGCACCTTACTGAGTTAATTGAGCAAATTTGTTGATCAATCGATTTTAAGCTTTATTGATATTCTGTAACCCTTTTTAGGATGCATCTGTCCTAAACGACATATGTTTGTGAGGTTGTCTTTACTATCCTATTGTTTATACCTATAATATTTTTCAATCTGGAGCATTATTTCACAATTTATTGATAAATGTAGGTTGTTAGGTCTTTATTAGGTTTTAAAATAAATCATAGGAATTTTGAAAATGGTTAATAATCGGTAACTTTACCCTTTCTGCTTGTTTTCATCTGCAGTTATAGACAATAAAAGTAACTTTTGTCTAGTATCTGTTTTTCATTATCAATATTACTATTTTTTCTAACGTGGAAAATGCGAAAGCCTTTGCCTTTACCTCCCACAAAGTCCCTCGATTCTTTTATGTATTTCTGGATGACATACTCTTTCAATGTGTGCTAATTATTTTGCGCACATTTGTCGGAGTAACGGAGGTTTCTCCAGTTTTTACAGCCACTGCATGAACCTTCCTGTACCACTTTCTGCCAGGGCTATGTTATGCAAACTATATACGTTTTGTGGCTTTCCAACCGCAAAACTATTAAAGCAAGTTGGCAAATCGAATTGTTACGTTACGTAACATATTAAAATGTGCCACAAGCAGAATGTTGGTCTTGCTGGGTTTTGTTCGAAGCTTGACTCTAATTGATTTTTGCGCATCATAATTTTAAATATCCTTTAAACGAAATGGAAAATAACAAGAGGAAACGCTATAGTCGAGTGTCGTGACTATAAAATACCCGTTACTGTTTTACACAATTTTAAAATATTCGTTTTGCTAGTGGAAATTCATAAGGCGCCACCTATTGTTAGAGAAAGCATTTTGAGTAACTGATAGTGACGCCTTATAACCTTAATTTCTTCATACATAGCGAAATAATGTTCCGATTTAAAAAATCTTTGGTAAATCGATCATCATATAGATAGACGCATCACCATCAGTTACTCAACATGCTTTTTCTGACAAAAGGTGGCGCTTTTTGAATTTCCACTAGCAAAATGAATATTTTAAAATTGTATAAAACAGTAATGGGTATCTTATAGTCGCGGCAATCGACTATAGCGTTTCTTCTTGTTTTCCTTCTCAGTGCTGTAAGGAAAGCCTTTTTGCTACGGACTATACTTACTTCAGAACATTTGTTTCGCACAAATGAAGTTCACCAAATACGCCAGAGCCCAGTTTCTCGACGATAACCAGCGATTTACGTGGAAACTCTTGAACTTGGCAATTGGCCCACTCTTCGTTAATGTCGTCGATATTTTCGATCAGATTCAAATTGTTATGTACCGGATGGTCTACACCTACAACCCTAGGTGTTCCCGTTGTCGTATTTGAGGAGCTCAGGGATCCGCTGCTCTGGGACCCTGGTGGCGGTACAGTCATGGGTTTAGTGCAGATTGGCGTTGATGCATAAAATTTTTCCGGTGGCGGCGGCACTGGAGGGGGAGAAAGAGGAAATGTGGCCGCGGCTTCAGGACTCCTCCCATTTTGATTAGCCGATCCTGGATTGGGCAGCATCCGCTGCATTTGAGGGACCGCATATTCCTGGCACACAATTTCCGGGACATCTGAAATTCGATACCTTTGTCGCTTAAAATGGGATAATAGGCAGTATATACTAATACAAGCTATTTAAAATAGAAACTTCACTTTTTAAGCAATACGCATACATATGTATAAAGTCACACATAAATATTAAATCATCTCGTTCTCGATAATATAATATTTACATACTTACTTTGAGAGGCGAAAGCTTTAATACCTGAACAGATTTTACACAAAGGACTTGAGTAATAAGTAGTAATGCTAATATTTCATTGTTGATTCAATGATGTTTACTTACAATTAAACCAAAAAATAAAAGCCTTCCTAATAAACATTGTCCTAATAAACATTCATTCAAATGCGGTTGTCGGTGGAAACTTTTCACTTTTTAAAATGGTAACCGATGTCGAAATGTCCTTGAAAAAGTTTGAAAATGTATTATAAACTGCAAAGATGAAGGATCGAAACTATTTTGTGAGGTCAAAATAAAAACTATCGTTGTCGTTTGTTACAGCCGAACTAACAGATATGTCACACCACGAACTTCTTTCTTCTTCTATATAATTAAGGGCACTATACTTTGACCAATAAAGCAGTCCATATGTTCCGCAAATAAAATGGTTCTGGAGAGAAAGAGTGTGAGAGAAAGTTTTCTTCTTTTCATTAAAGTTATCAGGGAAACCAGGTAGGAAACCTCAGGTGCTGGTATAAGATAGCTAATTTATGTTACTCTTAAAGAATGTAAATAAAAATAATAAATGTTCATAGCACCGACTTTAAATTCCCAATATAAAAGCATTTCAAATAAAATTTCATTTTCAACGAATTTCAACGAATGGAATGGAATACCCCTAATGAGCAAATAGTAAAAATATCAAGTATTTCGGTACTGCTTCAACTTCTAAAAAGTCAACTCGTGCTTCAGCAGCATAAATCCGCGCTTAGAATATATAAAAACATTTCTAATAATAATGAAAAAAAAACTTCATTTTGTGGTCGTGCCTTTGGCCATCTGAAATTGCCAGTTGACTTCAATTTTTAGTTAAATTTGAGTGACTCAAGTCGAGATAAGTTCGTTGAGTTTACCAAGTTTTGATTCAGCATGGAGTTGTTTTCGAGATTTATTTCAGCTAAATTCATTTAATAAAGAGCAAGATTTTAGTCTCAGGCCGAGGGAGCGTCGGGTAAAAATGAGGAGCTACGACAAAGATTTCCTGCCCAGTTATAAAGTGCACCTAAGGGCAACGTCAGCAAACTTTGGCAAATACCACGAGCCATGGGGCGTATTATAAACCATTACGGTGAGTGGGCATTGGATTCCCTCTACGAACTGCCATTTAATTTGTGAATTTTGCAATAAACAGAAAAGAAGAGAAACTTTAAGTTTGTATTTATTTTTAGATTCTGATAGTTTTGAACAAAACGTTAAATATAAATTATAACAATAAAATAATTTTTCCCTTTTCTTACTTTCTCTGCCCGGCTTAGCACTTCTGGATATCTTGCGTCCATCAACGCGACCTACCATTCCATTCCAAACTATTGGACCCATGTTGTATGCTAAATTAAGCATGGCTTCCTCTCTCTCCTTCCTCTCTCCATTTGCCATCGCGCCGCAGGAACATTTGCATGTCCTGTCACAGGCAGGACGCAAAACATCAAACTCATCAACAGCGACACCGCCAGCTTGGCTAAGTGGTCGGGAAGGGAGTGTTGTGCCGTCAAGTTCTGCTCTGGAAAACCAGTTCCATGGATGGTGAGGAATGGCCACACACACATCATTGTCATAGATGCATTTACCCTGGCGTCAACAGTATATCTGGATGTACTGGCACTCAGCACATAGGGGCAAATTACTTTATTTTAGCAACAATTTTAAATGGTAAATCACATTTACGCTGTGCATATATATATATGTATTAAATTTAATTATAAAATATTAAAACACTTAGTCCTTAGAAACGTCAATTGGGAGTCGTTGACCCTATTTTTGAATTAACAAAACATAACAAAAAATAAAGTCTGATTTAAAGTGTTTTAATAATAAACAAACATGTAACAAGTAAAAGATAACGTTTAACTATATATTCATAAATAAATTAAAAATATTTTCTAGAAGCGTCAGTCTGTCCGTATTAACGCAAATACTTGTTAATTTTTAAAAACAGGTGCAGGTGCATTCCAAGTCGACATCTTATTCCATTTGTTACCCCCTAAACCTTTCCGATTTTTTAATTAGTTATATCGGTATATTTTTATTCAAATATATATTTTCATTGAAATATATTGTTTTTTGGTATAGGAAATCAAGCTTTTCCCATTATTTTGATCCTAGCATTAAACATAATTTTCCCCAAAAAATTTGACTTGCATCAGTGTGCAGGATAGACTCACCTGTATAGTCCGGTGCCACATGCTGACGCTGCAGGTCATTCATGGGGCAAGCACTTGCCGCACTGGTGTACATGTTCGTGTTGTAGGGCTCATGGTACAGACTGTTCTTGTCAATGGAGGACTCATTGTCATCTGTTGTAGTGACAACCTAGAGGAAAAAATGGAAGCAGAGAGTGAAAAACTCATGGGTAGCTCCGGGGTCGTTTTTCATTCCGTTGTCCGGTTTAATCATGATTTTGGAATATGGACGGCGGTGGACTTTTGTGCGTTGGATACTTTTTGTATCATATTTTTTTGGACGTTTTTTAAAAACCTCGAATGATCGAAGTATCTGATCTGGGTTCAGCGAAGGATGCCATAGGGAACCAGCGTGTTATGGATTTTACATGTTTAAGCCCCTGCTACTTCAGGACTTATCTGCTTGTGGGCGCTTACCTTGAGGGTACCGCTGCTTTTGATTGTGTCCGGGTGAAAATTACGCTGAAACACTTCCAGACCATTGTGCCTGCCTTGGGCGTGCTTGTTGCGAGCCACTATAAGCAATATAAATGTGACAAGCAGCAATATTACTGTGGTCAGTACTGTGATTATTGCCCCGACGAAACTCATCTCTGGTTGCTGCTTGTCCATGGGTCTCGGAAAAATAACTACGGTACGGGTCAAAAAGTTTGAAAAGATAAACAAAACATCAATAAATTATAAGATTTATTAGCATATAAAAGGTCTGCATTTTTTTTTATAATCCAGTCATGCAGGTTTAGGAGGTTATTGTACTCGTTTAAAAATATGTATGAGGCTGAAATAAGTTTTTCCGATTCTCCAAAGATACTCCACAGTAAAGAATAATGTTGCGAGAACCACGTAAGGCATAATTATTTACCGACGGAGACGTCATTAACCGTGTTCTTAACACGTTATTTCCTCTTATAAAATGTTAAACAAAATGTGATTTAAAAAGTCTTGGAAACTCTTAAGGTTTTGACAAAAAATAATAAAGCAAGCCTCTAACGTATTTTTATAAAGGAAACAACCCTGAGCTGAGTGGGGGCATCTCTAGAAAACCGCGTGGTTAATTTTATTATTATAGTCCTCAAGATCTATGCGTCTACACAGACAGACGGACGGCTATTGACCCTGACCAAGAACTCATAAGCTTTAGAGGGTCGGATGCTAACTATTACTTTCTTTTCATTGAATATCTTATACCTCTCTTCGGAAAGGGGGTAATTAACTTAAATATAACACAAAATATTCATTTGAATGATTTGGTTATCAGAAATTGTTGTTGGAACTTTTCAAGTTCCAAAATAGTTTAATTGCTTAAGCAACGTATTAAAAACATTGAAATTAATTTTAAAGTTAATTTAAAGTTTGCAAAGTCATCTACAGGATGAATAAATAATTTCTTCGGAGTTTAAAACAATGTAGGAAAGGGAACCCCGTCGGCTCACTCTACTACAAATGATAGAATGCTATGAATTTCACTTACTCTGAGTGGTGTGCTGGCTTCGCTCCCTTCCACTACTAACTGCAACTTGATCGCGTTGCAGCGGATCTTCGGAAGTGACCAGCTCTTTGGTGTCACTTGGCTTCTCGGTTGTGAAATTGACGGCCGCGGGAACTGAAAATAATAATTTTTTTTGTCTTTATCAATTTAGATAATGAATATTTCTTCTTCGTGGCTCTATGTGCCCCGTCTCCCATCTAACTTCTCTAAGTTTCACGCTTTTAGCACTAAAATAAATTTCGTCATAAATAGCGAAATGAGGTTCCGATATGAAATCGATAGATATTAATCGATAGATATTGACAAAAAATGTTAAACAAGGTCAAACAAAGACATACACTATAATATTATGGACGCCACAGTTTTCCGCGGTTTGCGGGCTTAAGAGTGGGCGTGGCCGGATAAAAATTCGTGGCAAGTTACAGTGGAATCTCTTAAATACGTATTCTTAAGCACAACTTTCTAGCTTTCATAGTTCCCGATATTTGCTCATTTTTGGTTATTCTGGTTTTGTGGGCGTTAGAGTGGTAGTGTCGAATTCGGAAAAAAACGCATTAGGGACATCAGTAAAACCTACATGCTTAACCAGAACTTTCTATTACTTATTGTTACCGATATATCAGCTTTTCTACAAAATTCGAAAACCGCCTTTCGAGCCTGGGTGGGAGTAAGAGTGGGTGTGGCCGGGTACTGAAAAACATGGCTCAATCGACTTCGCTATTGATCCTGATCAAGAATATATATATTATTAGGGTCGGAAGCTTATTTCTACCTGTTACATACATTTCAACGAATCTAGTATACCCTTTAATCCTACGAGTAACGGGTATAAGTACTCTACGAGTAAAGGGTATAAAAATCAAAATTCTTCGAGGTCTAAAAGTGATATAGTAAGCGCTATTGTCTAGCGGTTCTGGTATGCCTCCCTGCTCATGTATAATGTTGGTAAAACCTCAACATAGGGCTTTACATTTTATTTTCGTAATAAATGGTGAAATGGTCAAACTCGAAACGTTTTAGATACAAGTTCACAAAAACCAATATTAAGATTTAAATCTTATATAATATTTTTATAAATAACATAATGTTATAACCTTATAAAGTATATTGTTATATATATATATATATATATATATAAGAAGGTTAAGACCCATGCTTGTTATCCATTTCTATTTGGAACTTTTAGAAATGGCGCATAAAAAGAGGTTTTGCCTAACTGAATCTGGATACGAAAGCTTTCCGCCTTGATGAACTGCCTCGACTAATGGGTCCTGTGAGCAATTAGGGGTAATGTGGCATCTGTGAGACGGCGCAACGAAGAGCGATTATTATGATGAAAAATGGGCAAGTGGCCCAGTCATATCAGCGTCCAGGCGACGAAACTAATTCACGGGACGTGACTAAAAGCTGTAACTCTACTTGTATGGCGGCAGCGGTGCTGAAATTTTACTTTCGACCAGATAGTCGTTGATTACAAAGAACGGCAAACTCGTCGACTAGACCGATAGTCTGAAACGCTTTCCCAAACTGCGATTCCGCTTAAAGCATTTAACGGGTTTTTAAAATCCTAAAACTGAGAAATTTGTATACATTTAGGGTAAAAATCATTAAACAACTTTGCTTATGATAATTTCTGCAGATCTCGCCATTGATACTTAGCTTGCTTATTTAAGTTCGCTCCAGCGTTCTCTAACCTTCTTAGTCTCAAAGTTTTGTGTAGATTTTTTGCGCAGCGCAAGTTTATTTCAGCATCCTGCACCTCCCACTCAGACGACCACAAACCGCGGAAAAATGTGGCGTCTATAATTTTATTATGAATGCCTACGTTTGAACGTGTATAACATTTTTTTGGTCCGTATCTATCGATTTACCAAAGAATTTTCAAATCTGAACATTATTTCGCTATTTATGAACAAATATACGTTATACCGCCTCACATGGGCAAAGACGTCGCTAAAGGTTACTCAACATGCTTTTTCTGATAATGAGTGGCGCTTGGTGAATTTCAACTAGTAAAATTAATATTTTAAAATTGTGTAAAACAGTAACGTGTGTCTTATAGACTTATTGTCTTATTGTCTCTTCGCCAATCTAAAACGAGAAGGAACCGTCTTTCGAGCTTGGTGGGCGTAGGAGTGGCCGTGGTCAGATAATGGTACCACCATAAGATGCACTGGCATCTTAAGATTATTCATACTTAATTCCTAGCTCTAATGGCTTCTCAGATTTTAGGGAATTTAGTTTTCCGTGATTTGTGGGCGTTGGAGGGGGCTTGGCAGGATGGTCAAATAAACTTGCGCTAAGGATCAGCCTGCTTAATCTCAACTCTGTATCTGGTATTGCTCCTGAGATATCAGCTCAGATCTCAATTCAACGAATCTAATATACCCTTCTCCTCTACGAGTAACGGGTGTAACCATGAAAAACTCATTTATGAGTATGACGATAATCCAGTCAAGAGTTTCAATGTTAAAGAGGTGAAATGGTTTTCAATTCGTGAAAGTGTATTGAGTGTCTCTGAAGTCATCAGTTGCCAAGGCACAGGAGCAAGGGAGTATGTGGCAAGAAAACATAGATGGGCAGCAAATATTTATATCCCCAGATATATCAACATCTTCTTCTTCTTTAATTAGACCGGATTAAGAGCGATGATCTGTAGAAGGACTTAAAAAGCAGCCAGGCAAGTTATTGAAATGAATTTGAATGCAGGCGACGAGTGAATAAATGACTGAACGAATGCCTGGGCAGGGTCATTAAGAATCTAAGAACGGTTTAGCTTTGTTTGTGACAAATATATTGCATCGATATTGATTAATGTAGGAAAGTGCTCTTGCAGAGCTTAACTGCGCTGGCGTGTTTTCATGTAAGTTAAATATTCTTCGGCTGATTTTTACGACATCAGAGTCAACTAAGTTTGAGTTTTACTTGACAATGAAATGGGGGTCATGGCATTATCGAATATAAAATGTGGAACTTTTTATTATTTAGTTTGTTAAAATTGTGTTTTTGCGAATACACAAACTAATATAACTGACGCGGCATCACGAGTAGCGCTCACCTGATATAAATGATATCTCGCTGAGCATCATCCAGCGGGCGGCGAAGTATAAATGCATCTGTAGGTAGCGCCCCAGGCGATGGTGTAGTTTTATTGTCACGTCGCGTGCATGATCCAGCACCTGGTCAGGCATGTACGAAAACTGCACCGGCTCTCCAGAGAACTCGCGCCCGCCAAAGCTAAAAAATACTTTGGCATGGACAAACACCTGTAAAATTGAGTACACGAAATCAAGGGGTGTGGAGGGGGTAAATAAAATTTAAGAGGAATAGCCATAGATTTATTTTACTTGGACATCTTTGGAGAACATGTTGTTTGTATGAATTACTACAGCACTGAAATTCCGAACAGTCTCAAACTCGAATATGATATCAACAGGACGACCATGCAAATGTGTCATTCCGCCAACCAATCCATTCGTACCCTATAAAAATTATAGTAGAGCAAATGGCATAATTTAAGACCAGCAATCTTATTGATCCCTAAAAAATATAAGTATTCATTTTTAGTTTTGGTATCTCTACGAAAAATAATTAAAATTTAGAAGCTAAACCCTAATGCTTAATTTCTCCTCTTAAATTTGAAGCTTTGACTCCGAAATTACAAATCCAATGTGATTATGGAAGATAACTTATTAGAAAATTGTAAACGTCGCCATCTGCTCTTGACATATTTGAAGGTTGTAACGAGTTTCTTATAGTTCTTGCACTTGGCTTTTGCAAAGGAAAACTATGAATTTCAGGTCTAAGTATAAGAGAGAAAACCCTTTTATTTCACTCGCTAATGAATATCTTCGAAAAAATGCTTCCAAACGAATGAACTTATCTCTTAAGGTGACCATCCAGTAAACCTTCTACACTTAAGAAGTATAAGTTCTTTCTTTTTTCTTATAACTTCCTAGTAATAATATGTTGACCCCCAACCAAAAGCTACCTGGCAGATTGAATTCCGACAAAGCACTCAGCTGATCGCTGCCCGAAATAAGAGATTTTATAGCGGTCACCTCTACTTTTTCCCATTTTTCCAAACTGCCTAATTTATTACCATCAGTCCGAGGAAGAACAATGTGGGTCGAATTTTCCATTAACCTTGGAAAAAGATTATCGTCTGAGTTAAATTTTTTTACCATTTTATTGTATTGAACTAAAATATATCTCTATCTAAAGTAGATACTAAAATTGAATATGACTTTAAAAAGGGAATCGTGAGTATGCATTACCTCTGCCGAAGCCATTAATATCAGTTCGAAAGTTATCCTTGCCCCGCTGGCCATCAACAAGTTGACCCAAGCCGTTTACATAATGATCGCCCTCTTCGTAACCATCGTAAGTTTTATCCGATAGATCGATTTCCATGCCTCTCGGTACACCTTTGGGAATGCTGTAGGACACAATTCCTTCTGAAAATTACAATGCGCAAAAAATAGATTTTCAAAATCTTTTATCAATTATAAAGGGCCACTATTTCTTGTAGGGGCTACTTTTCATAGAGAATTTGAAAATTAAATTTAAAGAATTAAAAAAACTTAAAATTAAAATTAATTTAAAGTTACATACATTCCTTCTTTTCTCTGCCCAAATCAGCAGATCTTTTAGGAATGATATTGATCCAGTTGAATTGTTGGGTAAATTCCACGATCATTTTGGCAAAGGCGGTATTTTCAGCCTCTTAACTTGCCTATATGTACATAAAATGAGACTTTTTGTGTTATTTGTCCTAGTTACCTTTGCATACCCTGTCATTTTTATTTCAATGTCCATCCCCGTCATGAAATCAAGAATTGTAGTGTCTTCAGAGTACCAAATCTGTATCCCATTTACAAAGGCTTTCTGTCTGTGTATTTTTGCCAAACTATGTAAGGTCCTCGCGCATAACACGCATATGTTTGATGTCGGTGGGCCACTTACTTGAACTTGTTAGAACTGCTTATAGTGTATCAACGTTCCACCACATTTGTGGCATAAAGTTCCTATATTTGTGGAATTCGGTCTATGTGAACATTAAATACAGGTGAAATCTACACTGGTAGTGGAGTTATTAGAGTTCGGCGTGGACATCGACTTGCAGCTGGTTGATTTCGTTGTACTTACATTATTTTCTTGTTTATTCAACACTTTAAATAATAATTTAATTTACTAACTTACTCATTAACTTGGCTAATTTCTTTTTCATTTCTGACTCCTAATAAACATTTTTTGTTTTGCCCTCCAAAATACCATTTTCGTTTGTCGGTCCAAAGCAGGCAAAGAACACCTACCTTCCCATGCGCAGCCAACTATCTCAGCGCGCAGGCAAATGGTCCGATCGTACTGGCTGTAGGGATATAGTCGCACCTTCGATGCGATGAAGCTGGGCTGCAGCACGTTCTCTACCTCGCTGTAGGTGTTTATATTGCCGGGCAGTATCTGCAACGAGAAGAGAGAGGAGAATCCGGCCAGGCATTATAAATGGGCGTTTGGAATGTATGTATGGGCGGCAGCCTGAGTCAGTAAGAAAACCAATGAATCGGGTTCGCGCTGGAGCTCACATTGTGCCACAACACCCACGCAATTGTAGCTTCTACTTGCCAATTCGCTTCATTTTACACGTAAAGCGATTCGCTAAGAAAATTCATTACCTGCTGTTTGCTCTTTTTCCCAAACTCATGCCGAAACTTCTGAGATGATGTCCCTGACCTTAAGATTAGTATTTGAATGAGGAAGCCGGAGGTTGATTTGGTTTATGAATACACTCACTTGCAGGGCAGTTCTGTTAGAAATTCTTATTCTTGCCCCTGACAGAATTTTTGACAATTTGGAATTTTACAAAAGTTATACAATATACACTCATATATACGAGGTGTGTTCAAAAAGTAAGGTGACTCTTCAAATTTCGCGAATTTCAAATTTTTTGATTATCGATTTTTTTGTTTTGTTATATTGGTACACTCTTCCTAACATCTGTCCAAGTTTCAATGGACATCCTCTTTGTTTGGTTGTGGAGGCGTAAGTTACAAGTTGTTTTGCGAGCTCGGCGATTTTTTGCTATCGAAAAATATGGATCAAAGGATTTGGATTTTGGCCAAAAACAACACCACAATAATGCCTCAGCCACCATATTCCGGTTTGCCATGTGACTTTTCTTGTTCCCAAAACTGAGATAATCGAAAATTTGAAAATTTGAATTTGAAGGTCCTACTTTTGAACTGTATTTTGCATTTGCTTGATCAGGTTGGGTCTGTAGGTTTGTCTTCCTGTTCGTGTATGAAAGCAAATAGAGTTCGGACTTAACACCCATATTGGAGGTAGATAAGTCGTTTATATACAAAAATTAGCGCATTTATTTTTAAGAAATTAAGAATTTAACGTCTTGGCAGCGACTTCGCTGCAACCCAACGCAAAGTTTCTGCGCTTTCTGCTGTTTGCCAATTAATTCTTAGCTCTAAACTTTGCTCCTTATTTGTTTTTATTTACCTCTTTTCCTTGGGAGCTCCTCCAGCGAATCCAAGACTTTAATCCTGGTCTCCAGTATTCAAGAACATAGGCTTCAGTGTATTCCTGGCCCTGACCTTTGCCAAAGCGACCTTGAGTCCGAATGGCGCTGAGACGATGGACATTTAATAGGTCGATCTGAAGAAATTCCTTTAGACCCCGTGACACCATATGCTTCGGACACCATGCCCCTCCGTTGTTATCTATTTTAAGTCTGAAATAATAATAAATATTTTGTCGTAATTTTTTGTGAAGTTCTTTAATAGTATTAGAAGCCATTTTCCTAAAATTATTTTTCATACGCAGAAAATCGAGGCACTGCAGGACTAAAGCTTCAATAAAAGAAAAACTTTCAAGTAGGTTGCACATATTGTGGTTTTGAATTTGGATCGATTGAATTTGAAATGCTGAGGACAAACCTTTTTCCAAATCAATGCAGCGAAGTCCAACAGGAAGAACGCTAAGGGTCTCTTTTATAGAATATTTACGAAATATGAAATACAAAGTCAAATCAAAATATGAATCTTAATATGATGGCATCCCCACATTTTTTTCGTTTTTCGGCGTAAGACTGGGGTGCCATAAGGATAAAAGCTTTTTGAGCTGCGCTAGCATAATCTCGCTCTTATGCTTCCTAACTTTTTAGACAAACAGACGGGCATGGCCTCATCAACTCGGCTATTCATTCCTGGAAAACTATGTATTTCTGAATTTCAACGTATTTCATACAGTTCTAAAGTAAAAATTAAATTATTTTATTAAATTTACCCCTTTTTCTTATTTAAGTTACATTTAAGATACCCGTTACTGTTTTACACAATTTTAAAATATTAATTTTGCTAGGGGAAATTCACAAGGCGCCACCTATTGTCAGAGGAAGAATGTTGAGTAACTAATAGTGACGCCACTGCCCATGTGAGGCCTTATAACCTAAACCTTCTTCGATAGATATTAACAAAATTAAGTTATACAAGGTCAAACGAAGGCATTCATAATAATATTATAGACGCCACAGTTTTTCGTGGTTTTTGGGCGTTAGAGTGGGCGGGGCTGGATGAAAACTCGTGGCAAGTTGCAGTGCCATCTCTTCAATACGTGTTTTTAAGCGTAACTTAGCAACTAGCTCTTATACGTCCCGAGATTTTTGCATTTTTGGTTTTCCGGGTTTTGTGGGCGTTAGGGTGGGCGTGGCAAGATGGGAAATTAATTAATTTGCATTTGGAGCATCATAAAAACCTAAATGGCGTGGCAGGATGCTGTAGGAAACTTGCGCTGCTTAGGGACCTCAAGAATCTTCATGAGTTAATCTCAACTTTGTATCTCTTATAGTTCCTGAGATCTCAGCGTTCATACGGACAGACGGACAGACAGACGGACAGACAGACGGACATGGCTCAATGGTCTTCGCTATTCATCCTGATCAAGAATATATATACTTTATAGGTTCGGAAACGCTTCCTTCTATCTGTTACATACTTTTCAATGAATCTAATATACCCTTTTACTCTACGAGTAACGGGTATTAAAAAGCTTACCTGATTTCATACAAACAGATGGAAAAACATAAGGACGAACAGGACAAGATCGACTTAAGCAGTGCTCAAAAATTCAACAGGAACGTGTCTTTGACCATAAAACATGACGAAGGCGGGTAAAGGTGACTTAGATAGGTGACCAGATAGCATTTAATTTTTCTTTAACAATGAATACCTAAACCTTCAATAACATATTAATGGATAATTTTTTTAATTTTTTAGGGTTTTTAGGTATTTTCCCATTTTAAATAAGTAACATACTCCATTTCGGAGAGCAGAACTCTTTTAGTTTAAATTTAGGCTGTATAAACAGAGCTTATTATTACCGATAACTTATGAATGCAGCTTATATACATATTAATGTGGGAATGGCTTAGAAGAACAGAAGAAGACCCTAGACAACGAAGCTCTTACCGACGATTGACCATTTGGCGAAGGAGATGGTCAAGACGCAGGCAAAGATGACGAAGACGAGATGAACGATGCTAACGACGAGAGAAGCGACATGAGGATGGCGGAGTTGGTCAGAAGAAGCGACGACGAAAAGACGTGCTCTGTGAGGAGCTAATAAGACGCAGAGTTCGATTTAAGAAGTTACGGCAATCAGACGAGCCAATGAGAAAATAAAATTTAGCATAAACTTAAGTTAATCAATAAATATAAAATAAACTTTAATTTAATAAATAAAGCCCTGCATTAATATTCACCTGCAAAATAATCGAATGCAGCACGCATTTAGTAGGCGGAGATAATTAAATTATCCTCGTTTTGGGAGCATTTATATTTATTTACTTGTTTTATTTAAATGTAAAGAATTGGAATACATTTGTAAATCAATCAGTACCTGACTCCTTACTGAAACACGGCTGTATACATTTGTAAGATGAACAAAGCATAACATTAGCACACGAGATGAAAGTACAAAAAATACTTATTGACTGACGTTGACTTCACTGGCCATGTTAGGCCTCACAAATATCGCTGCTCAAAATGGTTACAGCATCAGGTTATCCCCACTCTAAACCCCATAAACCGCGAAAATCTGTGGCCTCCATAATAATTTATTTTTGTGGTTGACATCGATTTTCCAACAATTTTTCAAATTGGAACATTAAATCTGTACGACACTGTAAAATCGGTTTCTGTTAGTCAATTTTTGTATTGTCTTGCAACATTTTGCAATGTTAATAAGTTTTTGCCTTAAGTAGGTGAAAGCACCTTATTTGGGGCTAACATTTTATTTCTTTTATTACCTACTGAGCAGTGAAGACGGGGAAAAAATTTAATTAAAAACTCGTCGGAGCTTGTTTGTTTCCGCTGCCAGCCGCTAGACAAGGCTTCATCGTTTTGGCAAGGGTTTTTGAGGTTTTGTGGACAAAGTTGGGCGGTAGATGCCACTTTCTGACAATCGTAAAAAATAATTTTAGAAGCTTTCGAGTTGTATTTAGGAGGAATTGTTGTCTTGCCAATTATATAGCAAAAAGTATCATTAAAACCCCCGAATGAAAACTTCCACATTTATTTAAAATAAGTAAGGAGAAGCAAACGGCTTTTAAGCATATCACACACCTGTTGAGGATTATCGAAAACACATATTCATTATTACGAAGCAAAGAGACACAACAAAATAAGACAGACTAACTCTGCTACCCTTCTTTTGCACAACCCAGATTTCCTTGGCATGCTTTGATAGACTAGGATAGGGTACATATGGTGCGTAGGTTTTTCAACGGAAAAATAAATTTAAGCAGCTTATGTTTGGCCCTCGGAGCAAAAGTTAAGTTGCCAAAGCAAAGGCAAACAAAAATAACTTTTAAATAAACCAGCTTACGGAAATCTTTAAATTTCGTTTGAGACCATTTTAGAGTCCCTCCTGAAAAAATCACATAGGTCTCAGACTTATCGGAAAAAGAGTAGATTAGAAATGCATTCCGGAGTCGAAAATCAAGTTTAATCTAAGTTCTTCAAAGATTAGAATGGCCCTCCGATTAAATAATAACTGATCCCAGTTTATATACAAATTCAGTATTTATGCGGATTGCTAATATATTTTCGGAAATATATATATAAATATAAATAAATAAATATTTTTGAAGAATAGATCGGCCATTTATCATTATTATTGTCAAATCGCACCTAGTTAAATGCCCATCATTGTATTCTTGTTCTAATCGTAGCTAGTTAAATGAACATCATTGTTTTCTTTTTCGTCTCAAATTTTGAAGCTCACACGCATAGACGAAATTGCAGTAAATTTGCATTGGTATTGCAGTATCAAGCGTTTTTCTGCATCATCTTTTCTGCACGTTTTTTCGGTAGTTATTATATAGATTTTGACTCGATCGCAACTGCTTGCAACCTGCCCCGCTTATATATGTATATAGTTTTGGACTTGCTTGCAACCGCTTGCAACCTGCCCCGCTTAACATTTTGTAAACCCGCTTATAATTAAGAAATAAACTCGAATCCTAGAAAAGAGAAATACAGCCCACTTAATTCGCCAACAAATATGTTATTTTTGATATAATTAAATAAATAACCTTTCCAAAATTGTCCAATTCAGTCTGCTTTAGCTATATATTATATTTATCCTTTTTGCCGTACATCTAATAATAAAATAAATTTGCTATTTAATTAAACAAAAGGTATTCAGAAAAGAAGAGAACCAATTTACCGCACATATAAAAATTGACTAATTTGAAAAGTTTGTCAAAATATGGTTTATTGAACTTTATTCAACAATTTTATAATTTCATTTTCAACGTTCAAGCCAAAAAATATTCTTACCCTTTGAGTGCAGACCCTTGAGTTGGAATATTACTTAGAGTCCAATCGAATTTCTTGAATATTTTAATTCACGCTCCAGGAGCAGAATACGAGGTGTGTTCAAAAAGTAAGGTGACTTTTCAAATTTCTCGGGCAACATATTTTCGATTATCGTTTTTTTTGTTTTGTTATATTGGTACACTCTTCCCTAACATCTGTACCAAGTTTCAATGGAACATCCTCTTTTGTTTGGTTGTGAGAGGCGTAAAGTTACAAGTTGTTTTGCGAGCTCGGCGATTTTTTGCTATCGAAAAATATGGATCAAAGGATTTGCATCAAATTTTGTGTAAAAATAAAATTAAGTGCTCTGAAACACTTGAAATGTTGACAGTGGCATACGGTGAAACTGTTCTGAGTAAAAAAAAATGTGTACAAGTGGTACAAACTCTTCCAAGATGGCCGGGAAGATGCCAATGACCAGCCTCGCTCTGGACGCCCAAGCACGTCAACAACTGATGAAAACGTTCAAGCAGTGACGAAAATTGTTTTGGAAAATCGTCGAATCACTATCAGAGAAGTTGCTGAAGATGTCGGTATATCGCTTGGCTCGTGCCATGAAATTTTTCAAACGTTTTGGGTATGAGTCGTGTGTCAGCGAAGTTTGTTCCGAAATTGCTGAATTTTGAGCAAAAGAACCGTCGCATGAGCATCGCTCAAGAGCTGTTGAATGACGTCAACGACGACCCAGATTTACTCAAAAGGGTCATAACTGGTGACGAATCATGGGTATATGGTTATGATATCGAAACCAAAGCCCAATCGTCCCAATGGAAGAGCCCAGACGAGCCAAGACCGAAAAAAGCAAAAAATCGCCGAGCTCGCAAAACAACTTGTAACTTTACGCCTCTCACAACCAAACAAAAGAGGATGTTCCATTGAAACTTGGTACAGATGTTAGGGAAGAGTGTACCAATATAACAAAACAAAAAAAACGATAATCGAAAATATGTTGCCCGAGAAATTTGAAAAGTCACCTTACTTTTTGAACACACCTCGTACATTCACTTGTGATCCTGCTGCCGTGGAGAAAGCAACATGCCTTCTCCCTCAAGCAGGAAATAATGGCTTTGTGTTATGCTTTTATGATTGAAGTGATGACAGAAGGGTGGTGGGGACATGTAGAAGGTGTCCTCAACCCTTGCACTTCACAAATTGCACACCAAATGGAGGCCAGCTACAAGAGCGGAGAGCAAGCTGTCGTGTGTATCGATTTTCTTTTTGGCCGTAAAACGCTAATGGCCGACTCTTCGTCGACCCAAGCCTCCTTCTCTTCCCTGCCACTCTTTTCCGTCCTTTCCTTTTCCCACAGAAGCTGTTGTCGCCATTTTACTTTTCATATTTTCAATTGAACTTTAAGCCGACATCTTGTTTTATGGTTGTTGTTGTTTCTGTTGCCTAAGCGCCTGAGGCTATATTGTCATCTTTTCCGATGTCTGCGTGTTTGCCTTTTTTTGGTCCCACAAAGCTTTTGCTTTGCAATTTCCACTTGACACAATGGCACACAAAATGCAAAACTCCCCAAGCCCACTAGGCGCTGCCCCTTTCCACGACCGCCTCTCGTTTGTTTGCCGGCTTCTAAAGCGTTCGCGGCTTGCATTTGTACAGTGGGCTTCCGTAGGGTTTTCCTTCATATTTTCTCTTTTCCTGTTGAATTCTCTGCATGTCATTTTCCATTTTTCCATTTGCTTTGGCTGTTCTTGGGTAGCTGCTTTCCAGCATTTCAAGTCAGCTTTAACTTATTCCCTTGTGGCTTGTTTTCCTGCTGCTTTCTTAAGTCATTATTGTTGGTCGCAAAAGCCGAGACAAAGTCACCCTGCTTTTCTCTGTTGTCTTCTTTGAGAGTTGCCAACAGCGGACTACCGAAGTGGCTTGTTACACCCATTGCCTCATACTCAAGTAGTTTCCGTTGTTTGTGATCGCAAATTATTTTATGGTATTAGCATAAAATATAGTAGAAGCTGTACAGCCATATAACCCTCAAGACTTATCAGTTTTGAAATGGGGGGTCAAAGTCCGATAATCGTACGCAGAAACCAATTTTGAAAGCAGAAATTGACGTCGTGAACAATTCGACTACTTCTACTTATTGCTACAACCCCATAAAGCTTGTTAAGAACTATTCCGATTTTGGAAATTTGTTGGTTCATTTTTTGGTAGGAAGGTAAAAAACTCTTTTACAAGGTCAAACCAGTTTTCCTAGTTTTCAGTTTTTGGCGGTTTGAAAGAACATCTTTAAAGTACCGGTAAACTTGGCTTTCGGTTCTTCAACGGACAACGATCCAAAGAATTCAGGGGGGATTGACAAGTCTTTGCTTATGTAGCATTTTCCTCATGCGGAGAAACATCAGACCTAAATTGTATTGAGAATTTGCGGGAACTTTTAGAATGTTATTGTAAGAATGGCCAAAAATTCCAGTTGAAACCACCAGAAAGTTGGTTCCTTAAATGGGAATTCTGCCAGCTGTCCAAATATCCAGTAATTAGAAACAAACACAGTCAAGTGCCAAGTGTGAGTAAAGTGAGTAAATAGAAAATAGTTCTTCTCTAAACTTCCCAGTTGTTCCTTATTGATCATTAGCTCATCTCTGCTTACTAGCTCAGTTTTTCTCAGATAGTCTATGCGGTCCTACTGTCAACCAGCTCTGTTTACAGGTCTTTTAGAAAATCGAATTAAACCTCAACTAACGATGGGCTGGACTTTAAAGAAACCGAATTTTCAAAAGAAAATTGAAAAAAGAACAATGATTTACCCAAAACTAGAGTAAAGGCGTTCAAACATATTTCAAAAGGAGAACTGAAGGACTGCCACTTTATACTTTTGTTATTTAAAAATTGGCAAACAAAGAAATTCTTGATCCTTTGGCAACATATCGATAGGTATTGCGAAAACAGAAAAATTTTAATTCAAAGCCAAGTAAATATAGACACAAGAAGAGATAAACATGATATTATACCCGCGCAGAGGGTATTATAATTTTGGTGAGAAGTTTGTAACGCAGTGAAGAAGACGTTTCCGACCCCATAAGGTATATATATTCTTGATCAGGATCGATAGGGGAGTCGATATAGCCGTGTCCGTCTGTCCGTCTGTTTCAACACTGTCTATATCCTATAGCTCCCATAGGAACAATATAGTGAAAACTGTATTTTAATTCCTGTTGCTATTTTAGTCAAATTTTCATTAGTGAAATCTGCAAGGGTATTAAAACTTCGGCATGCCGAAGTTAGCTTTCGTCCTCGTATATATATTATGTATACCCCTAATAACTTAAGTCTCTTAATAAGAGGGATATAATCGATACACAATTTAACAAATTTGGGTATTCTAGTCATTTTATTAAAGGGTGTCTGCTAGTTGCGGTCCTAGACGATACAGTATCTTCTTGTTTTCTGTTGAGAAAGGTCGAACAATTTAAATATAGTCCACAATAAGGCGGTTAAAGTGGCGGCTCGAATATAATATATATCTAGAATTTATGGCAAAAAGATGTCCATACAAAAAGGGTAGTGTTTGAAAATATGAAGCAGGAGCTAGCCTCATATTTATAGGTCCAACAACACGCACGAGCTTTCCATGCTTTCCTAAACAATGATTCCTGCTCGTTGTCTTTTCCCACTAGGAAAAGTAAAAAATAGCGCGAAATGTTGCCAAATATGAACACACACAACCTCCTTCTTGCTACATTGGGCAAAGAGTTTTCCGTCACGAGATGCTCATAAAGAATTCCAATGGCATAAATTGCACTCTAACCTTAGTTTCGTTTTTGTTCCCTGACTAGGGGCTTGGAAGTAGGGTACCAGGGTAATAAGTTTCATCAACTCCTGCAGTCCTCCAAATGCGCGATATATATCTTGTCCAAACGAAACTTAAAGACCAACTTTACCGCCTATATGAGGAAGAGAAAGTTTTTCGTTTATCTTACAAGAAAGTGATTTCCCTTCAATTCTTTGCCCTTTACCCTTTCGTCTCTTGTTTTGTCTCTCCTATGAAGCAATCGTAATAAAATTCATATGACTTTGGCGCGTGCTAACCAAAACACCGCTCGAAGACGGTCGAGGTCATTAGGCTCGGTCACGCACACATTTGCACATATAAAAATATTCCACTACTTTTTAAAGATAGCTTCAAAAGTATAATCTAAGACTAAACACTGCAATCAGAAACTGCAATCAGACACGGCAATGTGCAGCATTGACATTCTTTGTGCAATGGAAATGAAAAACTTGTAAGTTAACATTTTACTGTTTTGGACACAACAATAATCCTATTAAGCTTTCTTTCAGTGCAGTCGTATCGCAAAACATTTTCCTTCAGAAGAGGGCGCCACATGCAAAACGCCATGTGTGACATTTTTACTACCAAACATTTGTTTTGCGCACCGGAGCTGCTGCCCCCACTGCCTCACGAAGTACATACTAGCACACATGTGCGAAGTGGTGGTGGTACGGTGAAACAGGGGCCGGAAAAATACAAATAAAGGGGAGCAGGGAGCAGTTGGGGCAGCCAACACGTACCAGAGCTCCGTGGTCGTGGTCGCCTGCCTGTCGTTGGTTGTCGCTGGCCGCTTTTCTGTTGACTTTGCATAATTTTATTGCTTTTCTTTTATTTTTATGGGAGGTCTCCTTTTTCCCGTGGCACCCTCACCAACTCCCCGCAGGCGGCATTGACATTATAATCAATATTTCTGTTACTCCAGACACAGTACTCCGCTTGTTTGCTTTCGGAGCAGTTCTAGCGCCTTGCTCCGGCTGTGTCTGGGGAGGTTCCGCTTTCCGCCACTGTTCCATTTTTATACCCGATACTCGAGGAGTAAAAGGGTATGCTTTCTTTTTCATACTGTCATTTTACATTTCTCCATGAGGATCTAAGTTTTAATCATATTTGCTACTTTTAAATGGCTTGATGTGTATTTGATTAACGAAAAATAATAAGACACGTTAGTCGACTCTGTTCGTTTTGTTTTGAGATAGTTGAGGAAATTGCTAAAGTGGTAGGTGGTTAGAGAGTTTATAACAGAGCTCGATACCCAAAGTCAGAGCTAGAAGCGCTCAACTTTCTAAATAATTACCAGGGAATTTCACCTGGCAAATTTTCTCGGATAATGTTAAATCAGGAATGCACTTTTCCACTCTTAACAGCAACAGAATAAATGTCAGCCAAATGTAATATGGCCATAAGTTGTATCATTATTCTTGACTTGGTTGTAAATTGTGTGCACATGTTAGCTGTGAGGCATTTCGTTGCTGCTGCTGTGTTTTAATTTATGTCATTTGTGTTTTTGGTGTTTCTGTTTTTTGTCACAAACGACATAAAGGCATTTAAGCACGCCATTAAATAATTCATAATAATAATGTTCATCTACATGTAGCAAACGGGATGCTGTCTTATATGCTGTGTATGTATGTAAAGTGTATGCAAATGTGATGTATGTCCCACTCATATATGTCACATTACAAGTCAGCATTTAATGTTTTTCATTTTTAGCCCCCTGTATTTGAAAACCAGATTGCGGTAGTCTACTAACTCGAGTCGAAAGGAGCATGAATGGGGAAGGCAGCTTACCTGGCATGCTGAGGACCAACATTTCCCATGTCATGGGCCGAACTAACGGTTATTTGAAAATCAGCAATGGCGCCGGACTCCATCCCCAATGCCTCTTTGCAGGTTCCTATAACAGGGATACATTTTGTCAAATATTGAAACATTAGAAAAATGACAGCGAGTTCAAACGAGATATGCAATCAAAGGGAACAATTAATTTCTCTAATTTGAAAATAAATAAAAATCGTTGGCAAGTTCGTGGATTTATTGTGGTATATAGGTTTAGTTATAGATAAAGTTATAGGTAACACTCTGCTGCTAGCAAATCCTTTTTTATGTTGTTTTCATCTCCCACACTTCTATGAAGATGGGTACTGAAAGAACACATAAAGGACATTACGAGGTGGTTGCATTTTCGCCACTTCTCCTAACCGTTGTCTGAGTTCTCTCTGTTTCCACAAAATATCGAAAATTTTACCCGCTAAATAATTAGATGCAAGCACTCAGTGCCTTTGCACCATAGGTGAAGGCAGGGCGGAGCCTCGTCTACTTTCACGGAGAAAGCTCGTATACATAAGGGTCATCCTTAGAGTTTCTTATGGGGATTTTATCTGGTGCTTCTAGTGTACGAGTAATCTTTCAGAAAAAATAACAAACAAACAAATGTTATATTTTTAAACGTCTTTAACTCGACGAGTAAGCTGTAATTAGGTTTTTTTTTTATTTATGAAATGAAATGATAATAATTATTAAATAAAATCCCTTAAAGAATGTTAAATAAACGAAGTACAAACCAATAAATTAACAATAGATCATCCAGAAATGAAGTCATGCAATATTCATGTATCCTTAGTGCAATGTAAAGTAGCAGTAAGCAGGATGCGTGTTGGTATGCCCTAGGCTTTACCTGAAGAGTTTATGTATTCTCCATCAGGAATACCCATGCCCGTCTGTCAGTCTGTCAAACTGAAATAGTCGAAAACTAAAGAGCTAAAGAGTTAAACTGTACAGGCCAACAATTTCTGTTAGGGTCATTATTTTGAAATTGGTTAGGTGGTAACTTTTATCTGATAGAGTTCCTTCTGGTTAATTGCTAGAAAGTAGACTTAGTTAGGCATCTAGATTGTAGATTAACGGATTGATGATCCCGATGGTTGGTTACCGGCAGTAACTCGGAAGATGGAAAACATATGCCCACAACGGCGACGGCCTGGTAAATGCTTCGTGGCTTTGAGCGTATTATTTTTGGACAAGTAAACAAAGGTGGCAGAACCGAGTACGCATTTCCCTGAGAGAAATCTATTTTGCTTAAGTTTAACGGCGAACTGCACTGCAGAGTGGAATGTAAGCAACACACGGCGCCCTTTATCATGAAGTATTTCTAAATAGCAAACGAATTATAAATGATAAACTCAGATTAGAATTTAAATATTATTTTATGATTTTAATTACGTTTGATACTTGGTTTTTAGCTCGTAATAAAATAAAAGGAATGCCTTTGCCATATAGAAGTCTAGACAATGGTGAATGTTTTATTAAGAGTAACGAAAATAAATGTTGAACTTATATGTAGGAAACGTGACACTGTGCCAGGGATAACTCCAATCGTTTCTGCTGGAAAAGTTTCGAGCAGAATAAATTGTGTAAAATTTAATTAACTGCACTTGAGTGTGCCGCTTCCCTTCTGTCCGCTGCAGTTGCGCGTGTGCGATAATCAGAACTCAGAACTCCCACCCCTTTTGGGCGGGTAAAACAACTCATGCACACACACAAGGGAAAGCACCGCGAAACTTTATCAAATTGAAAATAACACAATTTTACAGTTCAATGCAGGGCGAAAGGATGCTGAGGTCGAATGGGCTGTATGTAAATACTATATGTGCCAGACTAAGCCTCTCTGAAAATGGCTAATAAAGCTAATGCACAGCCAGCCGAAATGCAAACGGTTTTCCGAGGGATCACAACTCTTGTGGTAAGGCAATAAAGGGTATTCGGCCTTCGTTGGAGGCTCACGCCCACGAAGGCACTGGGTGAAGTTTCTGTGCGGTCGAAACAGCGAGGAAATAGCGAGCAAAGCGCGCCAGAAACGCGCTTAATGGCGCGTATCTGCTGGCGCTCATAAACAACAAAAGCAACAAGGCGTGCTTTATGAGCAGCTTGTTGCCGACCTCCTCACACAGCCCCATGCATTGCATCCACCCACCCACTGCGACCTCTCGCCAAACAAAACTTTTGGCCACGGCTCGCTGAAGCCGAAAGCAAGCTGAAGCTGAAAAAAGGATTCAAGACCTGTGTAAACAAATTACGAACGCATTTTAATTGGCTTTCAAGTGAGGGCGACAAGCAGGCGAATCTTACGAAGGCGTTCAAAACACGGCTGACCACTGAAATGATAGCATCATGAAGTGCCCAATAAGCGCCAATAAGCGATCAATACAACTCTAACCTTAGAAAACTTGTATAGATTTTTAAAAAGGCTTGAAGAGCTTAACCCGCTTATTCAACATATACCTTTTTTTTTTTGCTTTTTCAATCTGCATAGTCTGTGTAATTGAACCAAAATTCGCAAGGTTTATACACTGAACAGCATGTTGTTGGTGATGTTAAAAGGTTAATTCAAGCAAAAAGTAATAAAGTTTATTAATAACAGGCCTATCATCCATATTAATTACCTAATCGTCTGTAAACTTGGTGTAAAAGGTTATGGCAAATATTTAATTTGTACTTTTTATATGTTTTATTACTGCAACTTTTTAACGGGATCTGGAGGATCAGAGGAATCAGTCATCTCCTGACTAATAAAAATGTTCTAAAAAATGTTTACAAAAGTGCTAAAAATTTGATTTGTATTGCATTCGATGGTCGGTGTGGCTGTACAGTGAATACAGTTTGTCAATAATTTCAATTGCTGTTTTGAGAAGGATCTTTTGATTCAAACCAACCAATGTGGCTAACTAGCGCAGTAGAAAAACTGTGCACGCGAAGCAAGCAAAGTTCTAAGTCATGTTTGAAGGCAACTTAAGTATAGAAGACAGTGGTTCACAGAGTCACAAGCCTTACGAAAATCAGTATTATAGTCTATAAATTCCGCCCGCATTTTGTTTTTAAGTCCTTCAGCTATAATGGATGTCTGTGTATATTAGTTGAGGTGAGCCCTCACATATCAAAACCATGTTAGAAAGTTCATGTCAGCGAGGAACGAAAGAAATAAAAATAGAAATTACGACATCTGCAAATTGACATAAAAAATAGTTAAAGGATTCGTTTAGAGATGGTGATTAGGTGATTCGATAAAGATTTCTTAATACTAAATTGGTCCATAAAGTAAAAATAAAAGTAAATAACAAAAAACCTCAGAAAATGCTTATATAATGTATCACTAAGGCAACTGTCTGAACTGGCGGTAGCTCATGCTTAAAATCTGTTATTAAATTGTTGAATATCCTTCCAATTGAATTGAATTGAATTATTTCCCTTATGATCATGATCAGAAACGCCTTCTTTTACCTGTTGCATACTTTTTACCCGCTTGGTTTAAGATTAAAAGATAAACGAATTCTAATTAAATGAGCTTTGACTTACTTCTTTCTTCACATTGAACTATATTTGCAATAAGCAGGAAGATAATTTGCTATGCGTGACCAAGGTCGTCAGATCGGTATAGTAAGTCCGGGTCCGTGTTGGCCTGTCGTCGAGGTAATAAGCAGCTAAAACGCTGACTTGCAGTTGCGTCCAAGCGAGCAAAGACTCAGACATCTATCGCAAAAGCCGTCGGGGGCTGTGACTTAGCATCTATCTCGACCTTTAACGCCACACGACGCTGTCACTGGTCGCCCATTGATACCTGCGATCAGCCCCTCTCCGGTTTGGGAATAACCTCATGTTTATTAACGACATTGTTGGGTAGAGTCCGGAGTGGTAGTCTACGGATCAATGACTCTTGCGTACGTTTCACGTAATTGGTTGTTGTCGAGTGAGTGCGGGGTCCCTGGTTGGTCCACTTCCCCCAGCCCACAATTATTAGCTAGCGACTTGTGCTATTAGTAAATACTTGAGAAGCAGGCGCTGGGTAGAGCGGAAACAGGAGTTAAGGCTTCAGGATCACGACCATTTCTGGTTTGCGGTTGATTGATTTCCGTGCTGAGTAATAAATGCGAATGCAGAATGCTCTGTGTGTGCCGATTTTGAGTGCATCTCGAACCTATGATTTAGGAACTTTGAATTTAAAATGGAATCAGTTCGATCTTGATCTGCTGCTAATTCAGAATGGAAGACGGAAATGTATTTGTGATTGAAGTACTTTTGCATGAGAAAATATCATTTTGGCGAGATAGATTTAAATAGACTTGGAATTAAAAGAACATACCTCACTGATTCGAATGACAGCCAATGGTTTTGAAATAATTACAAAATTAAATTAGGAATATGTAGTAAGAATAAGTAAATTATTTGATTATTATCTAGAATGGATCTGACTCAAATGACATTTATCCGCAAGTAACGACATCCGATTGCTTTTGCTTGGGCTTATATTTTGATTGCCTTCAGCCCTTATGCTATGATCTGTAAGGCTTGTTCAATGCTACTGCGACCAACCAGTCTTCTTGGACTATTTGTGGTATTAGATAGGGGTTTCGAATTTGGATCTTTCGTGGTGGCCACGACAAGAGTAACATCTGCCTGAGTACTCCCAACTATAAGGTGTTCATAGTTTCCGAGATCTTAAGTTTCATATTGACAGACGGACTTCAAAGTTTATATCTGACTTTGGCTTACCGAAGATTGGTTTACTTTTGCTCGATTAATGGAAAGGACTTTGCGACTTCTACGATTTAAAAACTTCTTAGACTTGAGGTTAAGAGGAATCAAAGTAGTCGAAGAATCAACAATTTCTGAGGTAAGATTTTTCTTTTAGTTTAAAATAAATATTCTGCAACAATTTGTTATTCCTACATTTCGAAACTTTTAGCTAAAAATAATAATATCCAATCGATAATACTCACCGATTTGTAGCTCCGGCAAGCCTCCATTCGATCCGCCGCCAGCTGCTGGGCTCGGCGTTCCAGTTGGTGCTCCCATCCCCAAGCGGTCATCCAATAAAATCAAAGTCAGTGTCAGCAAACATAAAGCTTTACTGTTATTAGCATCACGACGCTTAATGCGGCGATAACTTTTTAAATAATCTGTTGCAGGGCGCCAGGAGTGGCGGTCTTCGACCCATTCACGTGCCACGATTTCGCCTTCAATTGTTGGCAGGCAGTATTGTCGGATGTGGTTCTGCCTGCCGCGTCGTAAATGAATTGAATTCAATTCTCTAAACTTTATTGCCGGCATTTTGATTTGTTGCGTTGTTTTCTCAGATCTTTCCCTTTTCACACGTTAATCGTATCGTCGGTTCCCTTTTCTCTTTTCTACTTTTCATTTTCATTTTCATTTTTAAAGTCTGGAAGAAAAGAGGGTGAGCGACATGTGAAGAAATTAAGGTAAATTTGGGGCCCAGTTGAATCGTATAGACTGAAATTTCTTGGAAACATCGGTAAGTGAGAACGAGGAGGAGCAGGCTTTCCTAAATACATCATTGTCAGCAAATTAATGTGACGTGACCTTGCAAACTGTCGCGTTTTTGACACATGGCAGAATGATAGGAAACGGGGCGGCAGTTACCCCAGCACGATTCACAGTGCTGAGCAAGGCAGAATTTATGTTAAATGTCAGACGCCCTCCAGGGACTAAAACTCCCTACATCCCCATCTGGCTCCCTCGGCGGGATGCCCAAACGTGTCAAAATAAAAAATAAAAACTTCCATAGAGGTCTCGGCCGTTCCGATTTTCGGCCTTTCGCAGTCACAAATGCAACTATCCGCCAAGTGCTCCCGATATTAAAATGAGCATTTGCCCAAACAAAAGCACTACTCCCGGGAGCTATAATTATCTTACATTCCCAAGGGGAAAAGATCAAAAGGATCCATGAAACAAAAATATCATTTTTCGCTGGCATTTCCTGACGCAAAAATGCACTCGAGCAATTAATAAAATGAGAACTGAAAACGGCAAAAGAAAGGTTGGGGGAGTTGCCAAATCGCGCGATGGGAGCAGTGAGGAAAAACTGGCGCCCACACTTCCTTTCATATGGGAAATACAAATTTTACGCCAGCCCGACAGTGTAAGTGGCAGCAAAGTTGCAAATGTGCCGCAATTCAGCTGTTGCTGGTACCGGGGCTTTCTGGTTTTCGTCGCCGAAGTCGTCAAAAATAAAAAACATACAGTTTTGTAGCAACAATCCCATTCCGCTCTCCTCCTTAGCACACAGAGAGCAGAGCAGTCGAAGCTGAAGTAGTAGGAGTCGTGCATAGTTTTTATGGCCACGGAGCGGCATTTTAACGCCAACATCCCAACTCGTCTCTCCTCCCGAGTTGCCTTGCAATGGGGAAACAACGGCAGCTGGTGGGATGAGAACTGGAACTGGAGTTGGAGCTGCAAATAATCTTGCCCGCGGTCTGTAAATTGCTGTAACTTGCCCGGTAGCTGGTGCCACAGCGAATGCAAGTTTGGATGTGACAAAAGCGACGGAGAGCAACTTGTTTGGAAGGCGGCTTTATCCGGACCTGAGAGAGTCTTCATGCTAACCACCTGGTCAGATATTTTACGGCTAGGAGACAAAATATTCATTTTGAAAGGCGCACAGTTTTATAAGTCAATTTTTAGTATAAATGTATAAATTATAACAAAATATTGATTTCCTTATTTGTTGCTAGCCAGTAAGGGCTTAGAAAGTAAAGGCTTTGTTTTTTGACTGACATGAAAGGCAAAACTTATTGCTGTAGCTGGATACGGTATTGATGTAATTGATGTTTGTAATATCGGTGCAGTCGAAGAAGGCGGGCAGTACGACGGGCTTCTCCGACAACTCTGTGGTACCAAAGACGCGCACGCGGTCTTCACCCTAGATCGATGACCGTAATCGGGACTTAGTGTTACTTAATTTAGTTTAGAATATAAGGCTATACTTGAACTACTTTTATCAACGCTGAGATTTCAGGAACTCTAAGAGATAGAAAGTGATAATAGGCATTTAGTTTCTGAAATCACTCTGAAACTGAGTATCTTGTATCTGATAGTCGGGGCAATAATCTATAGCTTTTCTGCTTGTTTTATTGCTTATTTTTTAACGATCTAAAAATTCTATAAATTTTCAAGAATGCACTCAGATGGTTTTCGCTACAGTCTGGGCCTCTTGTTCTTCGCATAAAATATCCACAAATGGCCTGGCTTATGCATAATTTTTGGAGCCGATGCCGTAGGGCGACGCCCACAAAGTGTTAATTACAAAATGGTTTTAATCGTTTGTGTGTATACATTTTTCCGAGTTTTCCCTTTTCGTAAAGCAAATTGAGTTAAGTTTTTGACTGACCGATTCCCGACCCTATAAAATGTATATTTTACTGATCAGGATGAATATCCAAACGATTTCCCTCCGCCAATCGAATGACTAACGAGTATTTGACAGTGTCAGCACTCGCCCGCAGTGTTTGTTAGTAACAGCACCACGCAAGAGCAAAGACGGCTTTTCCGGGCTTGCATCCGCCCTCTCAGACGCACTCCGCGCAGGAGATTGTCCGATTGAAAATTTTAGAGGAACCCTTGGCCATATTTTTCCTCTTCCGAAATCCTGAACAACGGCAGTGGGGTGATCCCTTTACCAGTTCTAGAAAGTGCAACATTGAAAAATGCTTAAATATGAATAATGAAGACCCGTGACTTGGGTGACAATGAGGAACAGCAACACAAATATCTTTTTGCCGGCCAAGACGGCTTCACCCTATTTTAAATCAAAAACTGCACCATAAGCCCGATGCCTTAATTATCCTTCTCTTTTCCAAATTCCTTTACGTCCAAATGTCCGACCGTGTAATAAGATTTCTCGTTTCATTTTCTGGGCTTTCCTAAGGCCGAACTGATATTGATCTCATTCATTTGCGTGCTGGCACTTGGCACCTGAAAAGCTTAGTGTTCACATTCTTTTTCTCTCCTGCTGATGCCTTTCCAGCGGGAGGCACTCGTTTTCACCGATTTAAATCCAATTCAATTCCTAGCGGGCTGGGCCAGCCGACATAGGGTACTTAATAATTTTCTTTGCTGAGCATGATGGTCATGATGGTCATGATGGTTAGGGTGAATCAAAAACAGAGGAACAAGTAAGCAAGAAAAGAAAAATAATCGATCGAGATAACATTTCTTGTTTTCCTCATGCAATTAACAGCAGCTTGGCCTCGTTTAGTGGAATAACTTAGAGAGTTGTTTTAGTTTGTTCTTTATTTACAAAATGGAATGCATTCGAGTTAATGTAGCTGTGAGTATGGTAGGTAACGAGAGAAAGCTGAGAGCTGATTACATCAATGATATTGGGGGGGCTTAAATTTTAATTTATAAAAGGTATTTTGATCTTGGTCTAAGCTCCATGCAAAGGAAAACCAACAACATACCCTTGTGCTTCCAGTCTCTGTACTCTTAGGTGTAATTGTTAGAAGGTGACCGGTTTAGATCCTTCCTAATCTCAGAATCTGGGTCTGGATCAAGCTGAGTTCAAATAATTCACTTATTTGATGATGTCCTCGCTGGATAAGCCCAATAAATTATGATCACGAAATAAATCGATTGCGTTGAAAACTCGGGGCGTTGTGGCGTGGCTCTTGGCATGCAAAACAGTGTCTGCGTAAATGACGCATGAAAGCAAAATCAATAAGAGCAGCTCGCTGGGGGAGGGGAGGACAGCTTCCTGCCTGCCATAGGGAAAATTGCCATCTTAGACCCTTTTTGTGGTGGGTTCATTTCACAGGTTCTGTCCATTACCAGGGTAAAGCACGCTTATTTAAGCAATAATTTCTTGTCCCACTCTCCTCCTTCTTTTTTGTTTTTGATTAATGGCCGTGTTCATAAAGTGACACATTGAAAATTGGAAAGCAAATCAAGCACAAAGAGCAACGCCAAAAAGTCGCAGGACAAACGCATGAAATCAGCACAAAGTAAAAATAAATAAATAATGCGGACGTTGGGTGGTTCACGGCAGATGCCGCTGAAAGTGTAAAAAGTTGGGACTGGGGCCTAAAGGTCGTCAAAGTAAAAAATTCGATAAATGAAAATGGACAGCAGCAGAGCACAGGCGCTGCGCACGAATTGGATCGGAAATCCTTATTGAACTTGAGTGAGGCCCCGTCTCCAAGGAAGGTCGAGTGTGCTGAATGTGCTTACTGGGTTGTGTCTGATGGGTGGTGGGTGGTGAGGGAGTGGACCTGCTTCGTTTTTGCCTCAATTGCTGCAGCGTTGGCAAACCGGAAAAGCGTGCTGCCGAAAATGTGTGTTGCTGAGTGGCCACCGGGATAGCTCTTCTCTACACTGCCTAAAAAAGTACATCATTTTCACCACTTAGTTGGGACGATTTCATTTTTCTTTCGCTTGCTTTGTCAGACACATTTCTTTGCAGTGCATACGATGCTAAACATGGCTCTCCAGCGCCGGATGTAAATGGGCAGTTCGACAGAAGCGCCTACAAACACGGAGCCAGAGGAATAGCGCAGAAATGCTGATCTGGGATCAGCAGTCGCAGTAGTGGGAACTGTGGTGGTGGTGCAACTGCCAAAACAGATGAGTTGAAGATAACCCTAAATTCGAAATAATTGTGATAAAGCCATGCGAAATCATACGGTAACTGTATAGCGGTGCTGCAAACCTCATGTCCCAGGCTATTCGCTTTTAGAGTTGCTAGAGAATCCATCACTTAACCTAGTATCAGACCATTGGAGCCATTGGCAAGAAGACTAACACGTCTGTATGCTGGCCAAGCCAGGAAAGTTAACGCAAAACATTCGTTCTTCTGTGGTTGAAATCACTGAGCTTTCTATTTTATGTGGGGTGGGATTTATTTGCGCCTCAACTGTCGGCTTGCGTCAAAGTGCGAGAGCAGACTCAAATTTGGGGTCAAGGAGGAACTGAACGCCTAACCATCCCTCCCTCCTTGATAGGCTCACCCAGCCTATATGACGGCTTTAAATCTGTTTGCCTGCTGAGCAGCAACAATGGTCGGAAACTGAATCAAAAACAAGAAGAAACGCTATAGTGGAGTGCTTTGCAATAAGATACCAGTTACCAATTTCAAAATAGGTGTAATGTTTAATTACGATGTACAATTTCACTGCCAGAACCCATTTCTAAGAATATATATGAAGGCATATTGTTAGATCGACAAAACTTCACTAAGTCAATGTAATAGGTAAGAATGTAGCAAGACGAAACTCAGCCCAGCTACGGCTATCGGCTAAATTCATATTCAGAAGTTCTAGGATTGAATTTCCTACACAGGAACATGATTAATAATTTCAAAGCAATATTAGGTTTTTGCCAGAATTTAAAGCTGTAAAAGGTCTTACCAGGTCACTTTGTTAGTTTATATAAATTGGTATGCATTTTATAGAGAAGCCAGGACCTTCCTAGAAGAATTCGTTGTCATGTTGCCCGAAGTCAGTATTAGTAGTCATTTTCCAAACCGATTTCTTTCGACATAGGAAAGTAAATGTCTTTCCCTCTTCCACTTTCCCTGTCTTTGGACTTGGCCAAATAGAATTTAAATCTGCTTAATCCCCATGCATGGAAGCTTTCTGTGCTGAGTCTTTGGTTCCTCTGTTTTGGATGCCGGTGATGTTTGCGGATGCCCCCTTGTCGGGCGCTGGTTCTCTAACCTCTTATTTATTTTTACTTATAGCTGATTCCGCACTGCCCTGGCGGCAGAGTGGGATTTCATGGTGAAAGGCTTTGGCACTGAGTGCCGTCCTGAGGTGATTTTGATTGAGTGCGATTTTTACTTTGTGTAGCCTACGTGTTTTGATTTCTTAAATAATATTTACCTCGTGTGGTATCCAGGACTTTTTGTTGTCTTGGGTCTTTGATTACACAGGATGAAATGGTCTCGAAGAAACTCTTACTTTTACCGGGTGTGGTAACGGATATTCGATCAGATAGTATTTACTCTTTTCACATTACCCTGCTTACTTAGTCCGAGGACAGGAAATGGATTTATTATTGGGCATCAAATGGAATCAGTAGCGGAGAGCACTGACGTCGTCGTCGCCTCTGGGTGTTTTTTAAGACGCGACAAAGATAGCCAAAGTGATATTTATTAAATTCGTCAAACTTTCTTCTTTTATGGCACTCCCTTTTTCTACTTGCTACTAGTATTCTAAACAGAAGTTTGATGCTACTTTTAAAGTTCAATGTACACGTATCAGCAAATTAGTTTTCGGGGTTAATGTCCCCCAAGTCTGTTTGCAAACGATCTAATCGGGCAAACTGGCACATTAGGGCCCAGAGGGACTGAAAGTACGCATATCTGGGAGAATCTTTAGAAGACCACTAATGCTAAATCGATGATTGAAGAGGCAGAGGGCGAACTCATTCGACGGACTTTACGACTGTCATAAAACGAAGGCAGCAATGTACTCGGCTAAAATTGATTTATGACCCGATACAGCCTCCTAAATAAGCGATGGATGTAGCGGCTAAACAATGGCGAAATTTTAGCAGATCTAGTCACGTGGGTAATGGATATAAAAGTTGGTAGAAATTCAGTGGGTAACCACAGTCTTCAACGGAAGCTTTTCAGTGACGAACCATGAGATCCCTTAGCGTCTTGATTCCTTCTCGCATCCCTTTTTGCCTTGGGTGCTGCCCAGCATTCCGCCGGAGGAAAGAGCAGAAAAGAAAATTGTAAGTTAAGGTCCTTACAACTAAGCATATTCTAATTCCGTACTGGTCACCAAAGCCTTCTCCAAGATCGTTCCCCGCCTGCTGTGGAACATCAAGCGCGGGGACAACCAGGAGAGCCATCGAAACACTCAGCAGCCTATCATTATAGTGCAGCAGCCCAGCTCGAACTCGGATCACGACTTGGATAGACACCACCACCACCACAGTCAGCACTATCCTTACTACCCGTACTATCCACCCCCTCCGCCTAGTCGTCCGCCACCCCAGTTTCCCGGAATGGACTACATGAACAGTATGGCGGGCGGACCCACCTACCTCATTATCAACCCCAACAACATGCAGGGTATCTACCTGCCCGCCAGCAGCTCCAACAGCTCGAACTCCACAAGCTCCCGTCGGAGCGCCTTCGTGCCCTCGATTGACGACTTGCTGCAGGGCCTCAACTTGGAGGACTTAGCCGATGGAAGCCTATTTGAGGATGATTCCGAGGTGGTCAACGCTGCAGAGGACGGTAACTCGGAGCATCCTAGCTCGGAAGGACCGAGCGCTCAAGCGGACGATGATCGCGACGATGATATCATTAGCGAGGACGAGGTCGAGGCCCTTGAGCGCCAGACCAACCGAGGCTTAAGTCCCAAGCATCTAGTCTCGATCCTGATGCAAGACAAGCGCCGTCGGCGCATCCAGGAGGTCCTGGCTAGCATCTACTTGAGGAACTACAACCTGAACAGAAAGTAACCAGACAGGCGCCGACAGATACGAATTGGAATTTTGTGAGGCTAAATAAAAGCGGGAACCTCGTCAGAGCACCCCATAGAGTTGACTCCCCTCTGCAGCTCCATATTTTGTCTTCATTATGGTCGCACTTTTTGGTAGAACCCAGGAGAAATCTAAGTTAAGTCGCTTGCTCCCCAGTAGCTCCTCTGAAACTCCTTCTCTCCCTTCAGCAGTTTCGGCTGCCTGCTTGCCTTAGTTGCAGCCGTTCCGCTCTGTTGCGAATTTTCGAGTTGCCGTAGCACTAAAATAATCTGCAACTGCAGTTGAAATATTTATTTGCAATTCCCCAAGCAAACGTAAGCCCGGATCTGCCACGAACGAGAAGGAGCTGCTGCCTCCAATGACAGGTGGCACTGGTGATGGCCGTGGGGTTGGGGCGGCCGGGAGTCTATGAAGTAAAAGTTGGGCTTGATGAGCAGCTGCAGCTATTGTTTCGGCCGAGGAACTTTTTCTATGGGGCACGTCGGGACTAGGCAACTTGAAATTATTTGCTGCGAATCGGAGAATAGATGACCACAAGCATCGACCTTTTCGGTCGCTTTATCAAACAAGAAGGCTTAATTATGCCCTTTTGTGCTTCGAACCAGTGCCTGAAAGATTAAGTTCTTCAATAATTTTGAAGTTGCCCGTTAATGATCCCTCCCATCTGGATTTTAAAATATTTGGCAATTTAAGTTTAGGCAAGTCGCTCTGTTAACCCCAAGCCTCTCCTATGGCTTTTTAAATTTAACTCACAGGCATTTCGGTTGCTTGTGCCGGAGCTATGCATAAACCTGAGCTGAGGAATGCCTTTTCCCCAACCTCAGTAGTTGGGCGTTTTCATTGTTGACCCGGCTGCTGCCATAAAATAAGGAAGATAGAAGGTGGCTAGGCAGTAGAAAAAAGATAACAGGTGTTGTACCCGCTTTACGACTGCTGCTCCACCAACACCGCTCTGGCACAAATTCCGCCGGAGTCTGCAACATGGCTCCTGCATTTTGTTGGCATTTTTTCCAGCTACCTGTGTCTGGAAGTTGGCCGTTTGTTGCATGTCCTGCGGCAAGCGAACTTGTTTGAAATTTGACGTGTGTAGTTTGCTGACCAGGGGCGATGGGGTGAGGCAACCGAGAACGTTGGTTGGGGTGGACTCCGGAGTCTGGGCTGTAAGGAAGAGAGCGGCTTTAACTCCTATAAATTTATATCCAAGCTGCCGTTGCATCCACAGTAGCTCAAAAATGTTCATTTTCACTTTAAACAGGGAACTCGCCGTATGTTAGATTCGTTGCAATTTGTGTACCAGGTAGTTGCCTTCGGTCTACGCTCTACCAACAAAATTGAAACAGTATCTGAAAAAAATGAATTTTTAATTTTCGATCCCAATATGTGATGATTCATCCACTGGTTCTTTGCTTGCGATGGCTTCGCCTGACCATTGGCGAAAGCGTCGGCTCAGGGATTGAGTCTGGGAAGACTGAATGGGTGGGTGATTAATCAAAGCTTGTGTAACCTTTAGTAAGTTTGAAGTTTGTGCAGAAAAATTGCAGGCAAAGGGGGGCTACCTTCCCTTTTGATTTTTGTGGCCATAATGACAGGGGTAAGCTGAGCAACACGGCATGCCGAAGTGCCTGCTACTTAAAATGGATAGTGAGAGCTGATTGATTAAAAATCAGTTTAGCTGTGTTTAATATAATTAGCGGAAAGTGACCCGCATTTCATTGGGGGAAGGAATAGAATACTTTTCCAGAAGGCCACTGCACATAAGCTGAGAGAAGAATCCAGGAAGTTTGCGAGTAACTACTTTCCCAGCAACGTACCCAAAACGATATTCATCGGAGAGTAGTGTCATCCTCTGACACAGCTCACCATGCCGGCGACTGGCCGAAAAAGAAGACCGAAAAGGCCATCAAAGGCAACGGGATAAGCGGAGGAGATGCCTCGGTCTCGGCTTGCAATTTTACAAATGGATTTGTTGTAATTTCTTTTGCCACAGCACCTGATGCTCACACAGCGTGCATAGTGTAAACAGAGGAGCGCAAAAAAACGGCTAGGAGTTCGGCAAGCACACTAAGCAAAAAACAAAATGGAATAGAAGCCAAAACAACCGAGAGGCATCAGCCCGAAAGCCAGGAACCACGAACGGAGGAGAGCACTTTTGTACTTTACACATTTTCACATATGAAAATATTTTTTGCAAGTTTTTATCACTACCCGCACACCCATCAGACCCAGTCCCAACCTCGCCCGTCCAGGGGGGCACAAAACATTTATGGGATTTGTGTTTGCCAGACATGTTTGCATTTTGTATATGCGATATGTTTGAGAATCCCGTTTTGCCATTTTTTGTTCAAAGCCAGAGAAAAAGGATATGGCTACGGCAGAGCGGGAGGCACGGCCCTTTCCAGTTAGATTCCTCTTTTTGGCGAGGTAAGCAATGTCTGGGTGTGCCTGCATTTATGGCAGCGCGGTGTATCTGTCTGAGGACGGAAAGTTTTCATATATAAGGGCATCTACATGTTATGGAGGATGTAAGTATGCTGAATATTTTCATTTTACCCGTGAACATTGATTAACATTGATTAATCATGTACCATATGTCTTGTTGTAACAAAACGTAAAAGAAACAAAACACTAAGAATCGTCTATAAGAGTCTAAAAACAGATAACGTTATGCTAAATTCTATAAGCGCCATTGGTACTATACCGAGGCCAGTTTGCCCGGGAACTAAAGGTGATCAGGCATACAGATTGTAGATCTGTTAACGCAGTTTCATAATTCCACCACGCCCACGAACCTTAAAATACTGTGGCATTCATAATTTAAAGGTTAACGCTCTGCATTGATCTACAAAATATTTTCTGAGGTCAATACATATCGTCGTAACAAACTTTTTTTAAATCCAAATAATGTTTGGTCGTTTTGTATTTATATTTAAGGTCGGAGACGTTATAATTGTAACAAGCTGAGTATAGGGGCATATCTTTCTGCTATATCGATATCTATCTGTTCTATATCAATATCTATCTATCTTCTTTGGTTTCCTGCCGAAATGATGGCCACCGTCTGATGAAAGTTATGACTTATGGAATAAATGATAATGTTACGATTTTATACCCGTTACTCGTAGAGTAAAAGGGTATATTAGATTCGCTGAAAAGTATGTACAAGGCAGAAGGAAGCTGAGATCTCAGGAACTATAAGAGATACAAGGTAGAGATTAAGCATGAAGATTCTTGAGGTCCCTACGCAGCGCAAGTTTAAACTGTGCGAAAAACTGTGGCGTCCATGATATTATCAAGAATGTCTTTGTTTGACTTTGTATTACATTTTCTTGTTAATATCTACCGATTTACCAAAGATTTTTTAAATCGGAACAATAATTTAGGTTGTAAGGCCTCACATGGGTAGTGACGTCACTACCAATTACTCAACATGCTTCCTCTGACAATAGGTGGCGCTTTGTGAATTTCCACTCGCAAAATAAATATTTTAAAATTGTATAAAACAGTAACGGGTATCTTATAGTCGCGGCACTCGATATAGCGCTTTTTCTTGTTTTAATTTCATTCAGTAGATAATAATTTGATTCAAATCTGCCTACACCCTTAAACTCCCAGCAAGCGTAAGATTCTATGGATTTACGACATAAATTGATGAGAACAGTGATAAAATAAGCAATAAGGATTCTTAGTACCATCTAAATGCCGATACTTATCGAAACTTAAACTATTTAACTAGAGACCTCTGGGCTTGTAGTTCCTTAAAAGGGGTTAAAGGGACTGCGCATTTTTTACATATGTGCATTCACAGCTGTCCACTGTTGGTTCCGTAACCTGCGCTGTTTTTGAAAAACATTAAAAGTGTTTAGATAAGTTATGAATGATATGCACCAAAATTATTAGTTTTTGTAATTTTTATAGGTAGGTATTCAAAATATCGGGCAAAATGAAGTAGGAGTCGACTAACCACTTTTATTAAATCTGATAAATTTCTTGAACGACCAACTTTTTGCACATTGTGTAGGCAGCTTAATCGATTTGTATTCGTATTTGAAATCGATCGAAGCAATACTTGGATTACTTAAATTATGCATTGGATTTGCCGTCCAGTGAGTAAATTTATCGTTAATTAACAAAACACAAATTGGTGAGAGTGGCTTTTGAACAAACCAAACTAAGAAACAGGTTCCCGAGTTGATTGTGAAAATGTAATTCTTTAAATATTTGATCTACATGAAAGTTGATACTTCATGTCTCTAAGCTTTGTTGCACTCATCAATGAGTTACTAGTATTTATAAAACTCAGATGTTGACATAAACTCAATCTTTTATAAGCAAACCCTTTTCTCATTCACTTGTTCTGTATCTTTATTGAACTTTCTTTATCTTTATCTGAATTATGTGCCCTTTTCTCCCTTTGATATCTTTTGCTATACAGTGTAAACTCACTTGTTCGGAGCGTTTTAAGAGCGAAGTTACATTTTATATTTTTGTCAGGCGAGAAGCTCACGCAGAGAGTGTAGCATTCGTTCTAAATTAATCTTCATTATAGTCACTTAAACAATGATAGAGGTCGGGTCGTACAGGGCAGCTGGCCAAGCACATGTTGCAAGTTCCCCACCCTGGTATTTCCCGATCTCACGAAGAGCCGCAAACTTTGATTGAATTTTCATAACATTTTTGGCTGCGGTTGGGTAGTTCACGCCATAAATCAAAAATTCAACTAAAAATGTCAACTTTTCACTTTTAATTAGTTTGGAACAGTACGCAAAAATTTTTAGGTCACGCTTTGCTGGCATAAATCAAAAATTCACTTGCGCAAATATTTGGGAAAATTTCAGTGCACCTAAAACTGTGGTGGTCTGAAAATATTCCAGGCAAACATAGCTTCAGTTCACTGTAACGTGGGTGTGTTTTTTTGCTATGCCTGCGGCTTGTTTTTTTTAAGTTAATTTTTGGCGAATTACTTTGACCACTTTGCTGGGAACAGCCAGTCAGTTTTAATTAAAACTTAAACCTTTAGCCATGGGCTAGGTTGTCTTCGTCTAAGACCTATGTTGTGCGAAGGATTGAAGGACCTTTAGCCATGAGCTAGGTTGTCTTCGTCTAAGACCTATGTTGTTCGAAGGATTGAAGGAATTTGAGGAAGCCGTAAGTTAACTAATGTCAGGGTTCCACATCAATTGTTAAATGAACAACTTGACCAACAGAAATAGTCTGTGGGTTCAGGCTAAAGCAAAACTTCCCACCTCTTATTTGGATTACTTTCCTAAAGATCAAAATCACTCAGACATCTGCAGACGACCTTGTAGTGTGATTTATAATCAGACATTCGTTGAGAAGAATCATGAGGGTCGCAGGAGAACTGGAAAGGAGAACTGGAAATGTCCGTTTTTCTGTTTGAACGCTGAGATGTTAAGTTGGGAATACACCAGTTGACTCCACCCTCTCTTCAGTCCACAAAACGCGGAAAACTAAGCCATCCGTAATATTACGGTCTGTACAAAAAAATTTTCAAATCGGACTATTGTTTCACAATTTATTACCAGATTTAGGCTAAAAGGCCTCACACGGGCAGTCAATAAATTTGCCTTCGTGGTGCTACCAAAGGGTATCTGATGGTCGCGGCACTCCACTGAAAACCAATCTGAGAGTTGAATTATTTAGATTGCAATTCTTTAGAGTTTACAAAGCAATCTTGGGGCAAAACCTTCACCAAATGAAAATTTTTTCCAATTTTTTTAAGCTTTACAATTTTTTTTCTATTTGGCATTCCTTCTATTTAAATCTATGGTACTTGCTTAGGTATTTATGTCTGAATTTTCTTGGATGAGTTCCCTTTCCCCCATTACAGTCGGAAGCCCACCACACTGGCCGAGGTGTGAGGATCAGCCGCTCGAAGGACTACCTCGCCATGCTCGTCCTTGTAGCTCGCATAATCCCTAGAAAGGACGCACTCCATGTGAAGGGCGGTCATGAGCCGCAATGAGTGCATATTGGTGCAGGTGGAGGTCAGCACGGGGAATCCGCGCTGTCTACCAAGCTCAATGGTGGCGGCCACCAGGCGGGAGCCCACTCTTTGTCGACGAACGGAGGTGTCCACGCCTAGCATGTAGAGGTAAAGGGCTCGCTCCACTCTGAAGTGTTCGAAGATGTTTGCCTGCCTTTCAATCATGGCCAGAAACTTGTGAATCTTGTCCAGCAGGTTCGTGACCTCTTTCTGCTCGGTCTGCTGGAACTCCCTTTCCAAATCCTCGGGCACCAGTTCTCCCGCCAGGACCACGCCCACAATGCGGTCTCCGTCTACAGCTACCAAGGAGAGGCCCTGGGGGATGAGCGAGCGGTGCAGCTCCGACTCTTCCGGAGTCACTTCGCTCTGCCTGGGATCCTCTTGGGGGATCAGCATCAGCGGCTCTTGCCTGAAGAAGTGCTCTGCCAGAAAGGCCTCGACCTCCTCGAAATCGCCGACATTCATAGAGCGTATGATGATCGCTGACATCTTCCAAAGTGGCCTCTCGCAGACTGAGAGAAATTTAGCGTAATTTACTTGTTATATATGCCATTAAACACGCAGTGAGCTTGCTCGCCTCATTTTGAGCTTTTTAAAAGATGAGGGCCTCCACCTCCTACCTTCCACCTCCAACCACCCATACCAATCCACCCACTGACCCGACGCACTGTTCTTATCAAAGCTTTTTTGAATTCTCTACGTCGCTCCCTGTGCGAGGTTGAATGACACTACTGAATCTCTGAGCGTGTAAATAATGTTCTTAAACGATTTCGAGATCCGATTGACGCCCCTGATTACGCAAATTATTCAGAAGCTTAGTTGAGATGCCAAAATGACTGCATCTAACTATCGGATTCGTTTCTTGCAAACTAGATTGTTGATCATATAGGTCAATACTACACCTATCTCAACAATGTAGTGTGGGCTGCTCAGGGCTTTGATACTACTAAAACGGGTGGTATCGCTTCTAATACTAGTTGGAGTTAATACAGGTCTCCCAGCCGAGTGTTATAAGTTTACATCTTAATTAGAATCATTAACGTTGTGTTTTATATTTTCACGTTTTATCCCAAAAAGAGCTACGCTCTTGCGTTTGAAATATTCGGAGATTTGATCTAAATTCTAAAAGCATAGATAAAAAGCTTTCTCCAAAAAAAACGTACGTATGAGCTTGCGCATATAATATATTTGGCTCTTCTGGAAGCTGTCTTGCCGGTTCATCAGAAAGATAGTTACGTTTGTTTGTGTTTTTTATTTTAAGATAACTTATGCCCTCAATGTAATCTAAGATTGAAGATCTGCCTGCGAACATATGTTTATAACATAGATATATGGCAAGGTATTTGGTTACTCAAAGAGTCGTGGTGGTGGTGCAACCTGGTTTCGCAGGCCTGTCAAAATGTGAATTCCCTTTCAGCGCTGTAAGGAAAGCAATGAGATTAACATTAGACTAACATTGAATCAAAATGCCTAGAACATGGCAAAAAGCCAGTATGAGTTGATATTAAGATCGGAAGATGTTGATTCCGCTTTCGAATTTAGAATTATTCACTAAACAATGAGTGGTCGCTGAACCACAAGTTGAACAGGTTTGAGACGTATTGCGCTTCGCGTGCTCCAGTGCGACGAATGTCAGGGGCTGAGTAACTCCCTACCTCCGACAAATCACTTGGATGAGTTATGAATCGCTGCTTAAACACAAAATGCAGGTCATTAGTGCAATTTACCCCAACCCCGGCCCACATACAGGCCCTGCCCATTCAGCTTGTCCTCGCTGACTGTCGCACGCACTCCCTGCAACCCATTAACCCTATGTCGCCCTCAACTTTTGCCTTCCACACCCTAAGTTGTCTTATCTAACCGTTAACGCCGTTTGGCTCTCGTCAAGCTCGCTTGAACTTTAAAATAAATTTGTTCATTTATTTACTGTTGCGTGGTTTCATTCTTTTTGGCTTCGCTCGCGGCTTTTATGAGAATTTAATTAGATTTAAAAGTCATAAACGCAACTCTACTTCGTTCTGGACGCTTTTTAGTTGATACTTTTTATACCCGTTACTCGTAGAGTAAAAGGGTGTACTAGATTCGTTCAAAAGTATGTAACAGATAGAAGGAAGCGTTTCCGACCCTATAAAGTATATATAGGATCAGGATCAATAGCGAAGTCGATTGAGCCTTGTCCGTGTGTCCGTCCGTCCGTCCGTCCGTATGAACGCTGAGATCTCAGGATCTATAAAAAATAGGAAGTTGAGATTAAGCATGAAGATTCTTAAGGTCCCTACGCAGCGCAAGCTTATTACAGCATCCTGCCACGCCCACTCTAACGCCCACAAATCACGAAAAACTAGAACCGCTAAAATCGGGAACTATTAGACCTAGAAAGTTGAACTTCAGTATGTATAATCTTTGGATGCCAGCGCATCTTATAGTGGTACTATTATCCGGCCACACCCACCCAAACGCCCACCAAGCTCGAATGACAGTTTTCGCATTTTCTAGAAAACCTGATATCTCGGTAACTATACGTGATAGAAAGTTCGGATTAAGCACGTAGGTTTTTATAATGCCCCTTATAGGAATTGTTTTTTCCGAGTAAACCACGCCCACTCTAACGCCCGCAAAACCCGAATTGTGTAAAACAGTAACGAGTATCTTATAGTCGCGGCACTCGACTATAGCGTTTCCTCTTCCTCTTTATTATGAACTCGGCAATTGTTTGAAATTATCAGCTTTTAATTCGTGCCGATTGGTGTTTCAAGGTTCCCACTTTCGATGACTTCAGAGGGTCACAAATTAAAGTTTATTGAAATCGATTTTCACTGGAAAAGCGCTGGGGAGTAGTAACATTTGTAGCCATTTGGCGCGTTTCAAGTTTAATTTTCTATTTTTATTTTCGTGTTGATGACAACACCCACAGGGGTGGATGGGATTTCCCGAGGTACGTGACTAGCTTAACAAATTTGTGCGTGTTTCGATTCGCCTAGTGCAAGACCCCTCCACTGACAATATCATTTACTCCACATCCCCCTTATAGTTATTGCATTTTTATCTGCTTGACCATTTCGACAGTCACTTTTGGCCTCCACTGTAAAATCTCTTTTTTAATTGAAAGAGAATGCGAGCTCCCACGATCACATCCTGGCGGATTAAGAATTGTAGCCTGTTACCAACTGGTACTGTATTGTATAAGGCTTATAGTATATAAGGAATCATGTTAAGAATATTTGGATAAATTGCAAGCTGATAAATCTTGTACACTTCAAGGTAATTTTATCCTACAAAACTTTCCTTAGAGCTTAATTGTTGGGCTCCTCGTTCTTTAATTTATTATTGTTCTGGCTAATTCAATCCACTTGGAATAATATAACTCAATTTAATGTGTACATCATTATTGTAGAGGTTTTCGGGCGCGCAGGCTTTAATCAGTTGCTATTAGGTCTTAACTTTTTGTATTAAATCTACCCCAACCGCCGAGGACAACCGGTAGTCCGTTAGGACCGTCAAGAAGAACAGAAACATAACTTTTATTTCCACATTTTTAAATTGACATTATGAATCGTTTAACATCTGTTAACTGTTCTTGGGGGCCAGCTTTCGGGGTGGAAATTTGTGTATGGGGGTAAAGTTGGGAAATCGGTTGAAGCATCTGGTCTCACCTGGACTTTCGGTCGCTTGGAGAATTATGCGGGTGATCCAGTTCTTGACTAATTGGTTGCAAATGCTCCATACTATCGATTTCGATGGCAGATAGGCGATACCCGATATCCGATACTGATTACCCGATAACGATAGACAACACACCGTCTGTCGTGCGACGCGTTGCCCCAGCAAAAGTTTCGAAACGACTACTGGGCCGCCAAGTGGAGCTGCCTCAACGAGCGCCACAATGTCGTTCACACACATACAAACATGCATATGGAGGTGGAACACTTGCGATTTCCGTGCGCGACTTTTCCTGTTGCCGCGAAGAGAGAGCTGAAGAAAAGTGGACTTCGAAGAGAGTTGGCCGAAGAGTGGTTATTCTGCTTGCCATTGGCGCAACTCAACGAAACTCGCTCGCGTAGAGCAACAGCCGACCTGAAACGAGAGCAGTTTTTGGCTTGTGGATCGTATTGGGGGAGGGAGGGATGGCATTTGAATTGTTGCTAGCACAGGTGAGTTCATATTTCTAGCCTGTTAATACAGCTAAGGTATGTACTCATATCCCCAAACACGGCGTCAATTTCAAGTTTGCAACTTAGGGCATTAAATTCGACTAAAGAGAAACACATTGACAGAGGCTCCTTCTCTCCCCCAAAAACCAATTTAACTGTCGCATTAAATATTTAAAATTATTGATTACATTTCTGTACCCGCTTCACCTTTCACTACTCAGTGACCACCCGCCCACACAGGCAAAACAAACTCAACGTTACTTTGTATTAACTTCAACTGTGGCAGTGAGAGTTCGTTTAGAGAGCGGTCTGGCGCTCTTTCAGTCAGCACTCTCTTCGCCTATTGCTTTTTTTGTGGGGCGTATAAGACGAAGCACTAGGAATGGAACACTAGTCCCGTCTTCGCAAAGAGAGTGCGCGTCGAATAATGCGCGGGTAAGAGAGCATGACTGAGAGTAGCGGCTGCCTGTTGATAAGTATTACATACTGTAAATAAAGGGCTGTGGATTCCATCAGGAGAGGGTTGGTAGCCAAGGTGAGGAAAGGGTAGCGAGGTGTTAAACAGGACGGTTACAAAAAACATTATTAAAAACGAGGAAAACAATAATCATTTAATTAAATAGAAAAACTTTCTATTTCGGTTCCTCGAAATGATGTCCAAATACTACAAGAAGCTTTTCCGGCACAACCTGAAAGAAAATGTATGCATTTTTTATTATAATATTAAAAAAACGGAAAGGTAACGAATTTCCTTATTGTTTCCTTTATAGGCACCTGGCTAAAGCTGTTTAATTACTAAATAACGAAATTGACAGGTGTACTTTTGTCAACGGAGAGTACTTCGATTCTTAGTTTTAAGAACAAAATTGGGTCCCACCTCAATTGGGGTCACCGCCACCCAACGGCTGGTCGGAAAAGATAGCTGCCTGGAATGCCATACGGAGTTCTAATCCCCGCTGTCTTTGCCAAACATTCAATCAAACGCTGTCAGAAGTTGTAGCACCGAGGCTTAACGCAACTTTTAAAACTTTGAAAGCAAAAATGCATACAAATAGCCGACTCAATGCAGAAGGGTAAAGAGTTCCATATCACAACTTCTTTAAAGCTTTCTCTATGACTTTACTTCCATGGCGTCGTGATGTCTTGAGCGGCTAAGGGTATGCAAAGTTATCAAACTGTGCAATTGGGTATAAATTTAACTCATCAAAACCTTATTAGGGGTTAATTTATAATATTATAAGTTCTCAGGTTAGACAATATTGTAAAGTACGCTATAACCACATTTAACTTTTGATTTCCTGAGATTTAAGCGGTAGAAAATCAATAACAGGCAGCGAAAGGCTGAGACGC